TACCTAATGGTCTAAGATACTTTATGAATGCAACTATGTACTATATCTTAAGTACAACATACACTTCTCGGAATAGTTGCAGAAAGATTCATCCTGATGGATTTTTGATCAACTTATCTTTGCTAGGCAAATTATAATGGTTATTGATCAAATAAAATTACATTTACATTGTGTAACAATACAAATTATAAATAATATGTGTCTGGCTCTAGAAGAGTTTTGGTGATTATACTTATAGTAATTTCTTTACTATAACATAAAACTGTAACACATTTTTTTAAAACATCACATTCAATATTTAAATATTGACAACATTTTGGTATTTAATATTATATTAATTGCACTTTAAACAACAAATAAAAATAATGACTATTCAAACTCAGGAATGTCTGCGAAGCTGTAACCTGGATATTCTTTGTATGCATAAAATGCGATTCTTATATGGTAGGCGCCTGGCAAAAACATGATCCCGCCCAAAACTATCATAGGCCATAAGCGATCAGAATATTTCGTGTCTATGTGACCAGTTACAATAAGGCTGCCTACTGTAAGTAAAACTGTACCAACGATAAACAAAAATGCGGCTAAACTTATAGCTTTCCAAGGTATCCTAGGCGGTGGAACTTCAAACTGGCAATCAGAAAATCCACTGTCATCGTTTGGAACTGGCGTATAACCGTCTGGTCTTCGAAATCGAAACCGCGACATCTTTGCCATTCAGGTTTACCTAAAATAAAATTTGCTAATTAGTAAAAGTACTAATACTACACTTTTGCATTCTAAAACAAAATAAGATTCATTTACCAAAAAAATTCGTGAATTTTTCTAAAATATTAGTTCGAAATCGAAAGAACAAATTAAATTCGACGCCTTATTCCAATTCGTTATTTTTACATCGGCTGACAATGTCACATTATAAATGTCAAATGTCAAGTTCTGTCAAAAAAGATTTGCTTTGGATCCTTGCATTAACTAAAATTAAAAGGAGAAATAAACTGGATTTTGATTTATTTTAGTTATTCGAATCGGCAAAAACAAGCATCACGTGAATGTTTTTCTGGAATCTTGTGACGTTTAAACTTATCAATGTTGTGGTCTTTTTTCATATTCGGATCAATCACATAGCTGCACATAGCCCGCCACCGCCGACAATTTCAAACGACCTTGCCTCACATCACAGGTTCTATTTCAAAACAATTCTATTGTTGACGTGTGAGAAAAATTAGGAGCATACCAAACTCAATAAAAATACTGTTAGCCGTTACTCTTAAGCTTAGGAATACAGTTAGATTTTCGAAATTATTTACGCAAATAATCTATTAGCGTAGCTTGTATATTATACTTACACAAAAAAGTAGAACAGGACTGCAGCTTCAGTTGTCCTTGACCCAATGCGACGCACTGCAGCGATCGCGCGGACCACAGTATCGTGGCTCGTGGCACACCATTCACACCCTTGAACTATTCACTCTTGATTAACACCAATGCCAAGTGCCGGCGGCAGTTCTTATTAGTAACAGAATGTGGTGAGGCGTTTACATTTCATATCTATTAATTGCCTTTTAAAATTTTATATTTAACTTTAAGTTACTAAATTGAGAATTGATGAGACATCGGTTCATGATTAGTAGAGTAAGTTAGTAATCTCGATTAAAGATTACTGATTTGCTAACAAAGACAAAGACGAGCTTTGAGTAAAGTTTTATGAACGTCATACATACTTTTGATGTTGAATTATAAATACAGCCATGTAGAGTCATTTGGGATATTTTAGTAAAGTTTTCAAAACGGCTTTATGAATCTCACTGAATTTTGGCAATGATGTAAAATGTAGTCCGGATGAACATATAGGCTATTTATTAAGTATTTTATAATTCCGTGCAAACGGAGTCGCTGGCAACAGATAGTATGACATAATTCGAAAACGAGACGATGTTATCCACCCAATTTTAAATCATGTTGTTGTTAAGAAATTGTTTTCTAGTTTCTATTTCCCTCTGTGTCATAAAACATACTAGCCAGGAATTTTAACTGCACAATTTTTCAAAGACTATCTCAAAGTTATTAGTTTTTTACTGGTATGGTTTTAAATGGTAACTATGTTTCATATTGGCAGAGTAGTAAGGTTTGGTTGTTGCGAAACATAATGGGCGGAAGTGAACTTACCGTTGCCAAGCCATGAAACTTATTTGAACTAGTTTACTTAATAATAACTTATACCCTAAAATGTTACGCATTGAACTAACTTGTATTATACGGATTTCAACTTTTTTTTTTTTAATTTTTCTTTATATTATAATTATCCATATTTGGCATATTTTAAAATTACTTATTGCGACAATCGTATTTATCTTGTATAGTAAAAAACATTTTTTGGAAAATTTGCGGGTAAAAATCGAAATATTATATACCGTGTTTACTTGCGCCCACTGCTATAAATATGGATTAACATCCACTTTATTCTTGCATGACGAAAATGTTGATAATCAATTAAAACTTTGTTTAATTAAAAAAGTTTCTTTATAAAAGGTCGATTTTTTTTTAGGTTGGAAGTTTCAAAATTTCAGTGTAGTTAGCGGAGTTGATATAAAGTTTCGTTTGTAAGGTTACTTCAAACAAAAAGTAGACCACTTGTGGCTTCATACTGGAACATGGATTTTGATAAGTATACTTAAAGATTAAGATGGCTTTAACGATCGATGTACTCTAGTTAGTAAATAAAAACGATAGTATTACTGAGAGATCGGATTATTTCAGTAATGGAAAATCCGAACGCCTTTTTAAATTTTTGAGACCACTTTAAAAATCTTGGTTTTATATAACAGTACTTGAATACGTATTACAATAAGGTTGTTGACAGTTTAATAACCAATTTCATGATGCGAATCCCTTAGCCTGTAAAATTATTTCACCTCTCACCGCTGGACAAAAACAATCTTTAAGGCTTCGCAAAACGCAGCTTTAAAAAAAATTAGTTACAATATAGCCTTGATTCATTTTAACAATAGAAATAATAGTTGAACAGCTCATCGTTACAGTTGACCGGACTTTATTTTAGCGCGAAAAGCAATTGTTCGCAATGTTGTACGTAGCTGGAATGTCAACCTAAAGAAAAGACAACTTTCTTATTCCCTTTTGTAAAGCTTGAATGGAATAACAAATAGAAATATCACAACTCACAATAGATGGTGACACTGAAAATTGTCACGAAATAATATATATTTTTTTTAACACAATGCGCAAGTAACAAATATTAAAACTTTTTTATACTAGATAAAATGAATCCTACATTATGCTTCGTGACAACACTATAATTATTATATCCATTTTGTTACAAATTTTAGTTGTATTTAAACTTGCAGTCGCGCACAACTCTGTCCGTGCGATATAAAAAAATATATTAGCCTACGTGATCTTACAGACTTAGTCAAATTGCATGCATCTATGGCAAATTTCAACGAGATCCATACAGCTGTTCTGGTGATAAGTAATACCAAATGTTTATCTATCCATCTATCTAAACTTTCGCACTTTTAATTTTAGTAAGATTTAAGTAGTATCCAAATAAAATTCGTGCTTTTAGCTAATATAATATCGATTAAACCGTTTAACAGTCGTAATTGAGGAATACTGCTTAAAGAAAAAGGTTGATATGTAATTAACTTAATAAAAAATATATAAACGCTACCAAAATGCCGTAGAACAGATATTATATACATCGAAAACTATTATATTTTCTTGTCTATATAATGAAAATAATATGGCCATGAAATGTTATTCTTAACATTTGAGTGTTATTAGTTTCGGATCAGCAGTATAGGCTAGGACCACTTAAGATCGACTTAGTCACACTTAGTAACAGACCGGACCTCTGGATCATCGCCAAAACTAACAATGACACTCAACACGAAGACAAAGTGGCGGTACATCGATCAATATTAACCTATAACTAAATGTCTTACTAATAATAAGAACATAGCAACATTATAAAGAACTATATTTTAAAAATAAGAACCGTCTAGGTATACTCGAACCAAGCAAAGCTTTATTATAAAACGTAGAAAGTAAATGTAAAAAGTAATAAAAAAGACATGAGGAAATTGTACCCTTCCCGCCACATCCCTTTCGTCCGGTACAGCAACGTGTAAATCTGACGTTATTCTTTGGAATATGTTATTGGAATGTTATTGTATTTCTAACGGCATTTAATAGAAAATTGTAAAAACCATTATATTGATTATCTCATATTAATAATCTATACATTAAAAGATACAGATTTTTAATTACATTTTACAAATTATGATCAAGTAGAAAGTGACGTGAAACCTCCTATAGCAGTCTCCGCTTTGTGCGAGTTTTATATTATTTTTTTATCTTTATTCTAACCTGATTTTTTTTTACAAAGTTTTAATAGAAGTAAAGATTAAAATCCAAAAATTTGAATACCAAAATTACAAACCACTGTCTACTTCGACCTTCAGTCGAACGTTAGTATTCAATTTTGCTATGCAAATATTCCCCCTACCTTCTGCGGTCACTGTCGACCTCGTTAAGAATCAGAAATTAACATCTCTATTATAAATTTTACCAACAGTAGCTTCCGGCTTCAGTGTCCTTGTCGTAAATTAATTGCCCATGATTACTTTCTTTTAGAAAAAAATTCAGAGCTGCTAAATTTATATCCTGAGTATAAATCAATTTTGTAAATGACAAACAGATTTTAAATGAGTACAATGAGTACGCAATAACCTATTAATCTATCGTTAGAAAAAAAACTAATTCCACAGTAAGCTAGACGCTTTAATCCTGAGATAAATAACACGAATAATACCGTAGACGTAACCAAAAGGCATTAGCATTACAAAACTACATTGTGGCATTAGTTGGATTCGTAAAAATCATAGCTGTAGATGTAAGTGTTTACATATACAGGGCGTGTATAAGTGTGTGCGTTTAATCGCTTGCGGCAGTTAGGGGCGCATGCGCGGTGACGCAGGCGCGCGCACCCCCGCAAGCTGACAGCCACTCCGACGGTAGACTGAGTCGAGGGCAGCCGCGGCCGAGCCCCGCTTAGCCAAGCAAACCGGCCTCTGAGGCCAGGAGCCTAGCGCTTCACTCAGCCAACGCAACCAACGCGGTTCCACCACCAGGCTCCCCGGTTTAAAGGTAAGATCAATTGAATCCGCCCTAATTTTTCGCTCCCCTAATGACATGTGTTGCTGTGGGGTTGCGTAGTGCGCCGGTACGCTTTACTTCGATAACTTTCGTCTCTCTCCGCATCGAATTTTTCAATTCGTTATGCCAAAATTTCGCAAAGATATTTTCATTATTAATCAATGCCGTTGTTTAATCTATTAACCATTAAACCTTCAAGTATTTACTAAAGAATACCACTTGGTAATCAACCTGATGTTCCATTGTTTTCAATATGTACTTTTTAAAACAAATGCACATTGGGTGTTTCATTTAATTTAGGAAGAAGAAAAATAAAAAAAAACGCAATTCACTGAATGGTTTGAAAAATGATTTTCTCACAATGAGATGTGTAAGTTTATTTATAATTCTTCCAGTCATCCAGCTACCAATATGGGTTACCTATTACACCACGATTAATGTACCTTGTTAAGATTTTTTTATTACGATAACGAGCTGTCAAATTTGATGCCTAATGTCAATTTTGCAAATTAGGGCTGCAATCTACCCTGATTGGATAAAAATGATGATTCTTAATAGGAAAGTTAATTTGATTTAACGCTAATTAACTGAAGATAATAGTAGAAAGTACTGACTATAAATATTACGAAAAAGCAAAAGATGCTAACTAGGATTTTGTCAAATAATTTATAATCTTTACCCATAATATTTTTTCATTAGCTAACTGGTAACACCAAAATCTCTATAAAAATATATCTTCATGCTTGGCCATGCTCTTTGTCATAACAGTGATAACAATTTTAAACGGGAATTTTGGTCTCAGAAACTGACGATTAGACACATTCGTTAACATTGCGAAAACAAGGCGAGGATTCTATGCGCAAAAATTGATCAATGCAGTAACTGTTTAGGTGACCGTGAGACGCACCAAGGCTTCAACAAAAAACATGACGTGATCACCATTTCGGCGCTTAAAATTCCCTAACGAACGTGATAGTAACAATAAATTATAATCCACTTGAACTACAACTAACGTATTATAACTTTCAGAACGAATTGAAAAGATTCCAATAATAGCGAAGGTCTTTTGTGAGCTTTATAAAGCGCAGGCTTCAATGATTTCTATTCAACGGGCATTGGTATTTGAAAACTACTATTATAACAATCGGATATTCGATTTTTTTATCCTAATCCGTATTAATTCCTTGATTTTATTGTTAAGAAAAAAGTTAAAGGTCCATAAATATCTCTTTAAAGTAAAAATTTGGCAGTAACATATTTTTAATAAAACTGAATTAGGGGAAAGATAGAAAACCTTTTTTGGCAAGAGTTTTAATTGATTCACTTGACATCTCAACTCTTTACTTCGTGCGTATATTAACAGATGGAGCGTCGCTGGCTCAGGAGTCAAGCACTTGACTTGCAATCTGCAGGTCCTGGGTTCGAATACTGCCTTTTACTGATGAGTTTTTTCGATTTCCGATTTACATATACATATATGTACATTTATCCGACGTTTTTACGGTGAAGGAAAACATCATGATGCAACCTGTACCTATTTGAGAAGAAATTCAAAGATAGGTGTGAAGTCAACCAACCCGCACTTGGCCAGCGTGGTTGACTACGGCATAATCACCCTGAATTTAGGGTAGGCTCCGAGCCCTCGGTGGGGACGTATTATATGTTATCAGCATAAGGACATGAACTATTAAATAAAAATAATTTAAAAGTAAAAAATGCTGTCTAATCTAATGACTATTTAACATATTTTAAACATAACAATTTATATTATCCTTTTAACTCCTTGTTAAAATATCTTCGTAGCCTTAATTTTTCACGTTATTTGACAAGAATCCTGTCGACCTCTGGCGTCAGATAGAGGGCGGTAAACATATCTTGGCACACCCTTCTGCCGCAATGTATAACCTATATTATGTTTCATTAAAAGAAATAATGCTTGAAGCATATATTGTGCGACTGTATGTATGAATATAGGATATAATTTGTATCAGAGAATTATTACAATCTCAAAAAGTATGCGCGTTTAGTTTAGTTAAATTCAATGCGTACGAAATCAAGGGAGACAGGTAGTATAACATCTTACTTCTTATAAATACGAATGTTTGAATGGATAGATGTTTGTTTGAAAGTATCTGCACAATGACTGCATGGATCTAACTGCGTCCCGGAGGCCTAATTTAGTCCTCTTTCCCTTCCCACGCTTTTCTTATAAGGAAAGGATGGGAAGTGGAAGTGGACTTTCCGGATGAGAGGATGCATGGGAAGGGAAAATATTTTCTTTCTGTACATCCTCTTCTCCGTCGATTAAAGGTAGGCAACGCATATGCAATTGCATATGTCTATGGGCAACGGTCACTTCGCTATTTCAGGTGGCCGCTCGCTCGTTTGCCGCCTTCTGATATAAAAAAAACTGAAATTTGGCATAGAATTAGATCCTGGACTGGAACAACTAGTTGTACAAGTTATTTTTTTTTTTTAATTTTTGCGCCGACGGAACCGGGGAAGATAGTTAAAACATACGTAAATATACTATTTAAAGATATACCAAACGTAATAAATGCGGATAAATTACTGATAGGAACATCTCATTGAAACAATTGTAAATTCAGCATATCGGATAACGTTGAATACAGAATTAGTGCGCGTGTTTGACAGCTGTGTTGTGCGATATTGTATTAAAGGGTATATGAAATAGAAGCCCTAGAATACTGTTACAGTTCAAATTTAACTGTTTTTTTTTTCAATTTCTACTAATAAAATATTTAATTTATCTACTAAGGTCCAAATGTAATTTTTTATCCTTAAGGTTTTTTTCCACCAGTATTTTAAAGTAATTAACTATTATAATTTGATACTTTAATTTGCTAAATTATTTATTCTTATGCATTGGGTTTTTTGCGTGACCATAACTATTTCTATTTAAAATATTTCGTAAAGATTACAAAAATAAATACCAATATCCTGTAGGATAATGGGACATAGATTATGGTTAGAAGTCATTTATTATATCTAAATTACGAATTACGTTATTATAAAAAATTAAATCTTACTAATGTATAAATGCGAAATTTTAGATGGATGGATGGATGTTCGTTAGAAGGTCTACAGAACAGCTCTACGGATCTCGAAATTTTACAAGCATGTAGAGCATAGTCAGGAAGAACACATAATCTAATAATTATTAATTTTTAATTCACCGCGGACGTAGTCGCAGGCGACAGCTAGTATATCATAAGTAAGTTGCACTTGGATTAACCCATATTAACAGCCGCACGGCTGGAGGCCTTACTTGTTGTCATTTGACACTTCAAGGTTACTATACGTGCAAATAAATGTCAACCGCGAGTTTCCATTGCCTAAACACCTACGCAAAAATATATGTTATCTGTGGTTTTTATTAAAACATAATCTTTTGTGTTTTAAGACACTTTAAGCAACATTATATATATGATCCCATTTTCCTTTCCTTTTTAACATCCGTAATTTTAAATCTGCAATCCAATGTGGGTCTTGGTCTCCAATTATCGAGCATTAAAAATTTAAGCGTAATTAAATTCAATTCAATGTGTTTCCGTACCGCTACGAACGTATTGTAGAATGCTACGAGAATACGCATACAGCTACGCCGTATAACGCGCTGCCTCGGGCTCGTAGCAACTTTGATGAAAATATTTTGTACATTAGTACAAAATATTGTCATCAAAGTTCGTTCGTTGTTTTATTTATTATTGCTTTTAAATTATTATTAATCATTATTATACAATGCAGCTAATGTATATTATGAAAATATAAGACAGCTCTCCAGTTGCAAAATTAACCAAAGTATTAACCTACAAAACGCGTCGTTCAGTAAGTAAGCAGTGAGTCACGTGTCGGGTAATTCGACGGCACTGTTCTGAGTTGCCGACGCAGCTTAGTTACCGCGTTGTCGAGTCTGCGGTACCGAGTTGCGGAGACTATTACCTAGTTCGAGTTGCCGCCAACGTGATTTATTAACAGACGTTTTATAGCACATTCATTACACGGATGGTAATTTGCAGTTTGAATTCAAGGCATTAGCTACTCAGGGACGGTAGTTTGAAGTTATTGAGACGTAATTACTATTATAAAATTGAGCTAAAGATGCACATCACGATTACGGAATTTAGAGAATATCTTTGCATACGCATATATAGCTCAAAATTAATTGTATTATGTCAGTGATAAACCTTTGGTTAATCTTGTTATTTACTACATCTATCACTTTCTACCAATTTTTTTTTCGTTGATATCCTAATATTATTGGTGCTAGGATTTTTAGCATTCTTTTCGCTTATTCCAAAAAAAATAACATCGTAATGGTTTTTTTTTCAATTTATAGAGTTAACAAAGTTGTATTATATATATCGTAAATATATACGTAACAATACATTTGTAGGTTAATATGCTTATTTTTTCATGTATTTTTTTAAAGATCGACCATTTATTACAGTTCTTTAACCCCAATGTACTTGTTTTTTATATAAGTAAAATAAATACTTATAAGCACACCTCATTGATATAACAAAAGTCATTAAACTCTGGCCATTAAATCAAATTGGGTGATATATTAAGTCACGAAATTCAGATTCAAAATGGCGTCGCCTTTTTTCTCACGCTATCGCCGCACGCAAACATCTTTTGGAAACGTAACTTGGGTGTTAACCTGTAAGGATTATTACAAATGGTTAGTAATCGTTTAACTTTGACCAGAGTATAGGTAATGCGAGTTAAAATAATAGTATTATATAATTTACTCAACCTATAATTCAAGCTTTGAGTTAATTGCCATTTATTAGAAAGGGATGCTAAACAGAGATAAAATAACTACGATTTTTGAAATGTTTTTTTATTGATTTAATTAGTAGAAACGTTCAACCGTCGGTTCCATTTTTACTATGTTTAAATATGCGATTATTTGTACTTACCTAAAATACCTGCCTTTCATAATATAAAACACAAAGGCTTCTTGAATTTAATATTACTGGAATAACTAAGTAAGGTATTTAGGGTCAGTATGAGCGAACCATAAACTCTTTGTTTAGGTTCTGTTGATAGACTGAACGGGTCGTGTTTACTAACGTATGAGAGACGTGGATTAAATAAAAAAGACAAATGAATACGGCATAAAAATTAAAACATTTTTGTATTATGTACAGTCAGCTGCATAAAGACTGGAGCAGACAAGATATGCTGTATACTGTACAGTATACATTTGCAGCAATATGTCCGTGTCCGTTCCATTATTAATCATACGGATTAAATGATTTCATAATCATATCATTCCTAATATTATCGTATATTATAAAATTATTACTATTCGTACATTTCGTACCGTAAACTATTCTATCTGGAAATAAGTACAAACTTATTTATAATATTAAGTAACTATTGGTAGTTTGAAATAAAGATCAATTTTTCACGAATGAAAATTAAAATATCAAGCGGAAAAAAATATTACAAAAAACCTGCACATAACATAAATCTACAAGAAATGGAATAAATATTTTATGTTGTCTCCACAATTTTAAGATTTCATACCGCAATATGATGCACCCGGACATTTACGAGATGTGCAATACTTTGCCAACTTTTACGGCGACATTTAATATTTACATTTCAAATATTGCATATTACAAAAGTATTATAAATGATTACGACAAGCTTATAGTACATTAAATAAAGTATTTACATTTAGTGTTATAAAACAGAAACCTAATAGTTCCCTTTTTTGTACGAGTCATCATCAACCTGCCCTTATCCCTACCGAGGGTCGGCACAGTATGTACTACTCTTCCATACATCCCCCATTCCTACTGTTAGGAAGAAAATCCGACACTGTGCAGGTGTACTGGCACAACACTAGCCTTACTAAAATGTCGACGTTTATATCCCATCACTAATCATTCTTTCACTTGACTTTGTAACGATTTGGCGCCTTTCGCGCCAAATGATTCTAACTAATAATGTCTAAAACGACGCATATACTCTTTCACATAATCCATCCATACTTTCTTCGGTCTTCCTCTACCTTGTACTCATCCAATTCAATCTCTTCAACATTTTTGTACCAGTAAAACATAGAAAAATAATTTAAAAATATTAATATTTTCAAATTAAAAGACCCGAACATAGCTTTTTATTCCACATGGATAATAATTACTCCAGATAGCGTGCGCTTTAAACTAACCTTGACATTTCTGATGCAAATTTGTACGATAATTGCGTGTATGGTTGCATAATAAAATCCTTATAAAAGATTTTATAAAACAAAGTATGATGTACACCACGCTTTTGTTACTTTATGCATCACTTTCAGCTGTCATGTCTGAATTCACTCCCTTCTTACGCATATCTTTCAAACAATCCATCCATTCCTTGGTCTACCTCTACCTTTGCAGCCATCCACATTCGTAACTTTCTTATTTATGTCATAATCTCTCCGCATTTTTAGCACGTTAACCTTTTACTTCTCAATTTTTATATCACTGGTGCTACTTTTAAAAATCTTTAATTTTAAAGTTATTAATTTAAAAAATGAATAAATGAATCTTCAAAAAAATTAATTGCACAAATTTGAGTGAAACTGTGATGTCAGGTTGCAGTGGCCTGCCAATTTAATTAATGCACATTCAATTAAATGTACACAATTTGATTATTAATTGATATGTCATCGTCATAGAATAGCACAGATAACGAAAGTATCAACAGATATTTAATATGCTAAATAGTATATATAAATATTATGTGGTAAGACATCGAGTTCGCATTCGAATTTTGACATCTTACTAATATTATAAATGCGAATGTTTGATTGTATGGATGGATAGATTGATTAAGGTATTTCTCGAAGTGCTGACCTCGATATCGGCATGGAAATAGAACATTCTGGAAGTAGACATACGCTATTGATTAAGTTTTTTTAATTCCTCGCGGACGGAGTTGTGGACAACTTCTAGTAGGGAATAAAAGAATTGCAGATAATATATAGCAATTCTGTAGTAGTTCTACAGTAGTGGTATTTCGTAATAATATGTTGTTATTAATTGTTATAGAGATGGAAATCGTGCCCGAGGGGAAAAACTTCCGATTGGTAAAAGAAGACGAGCTCCCAGCGTTGGCTGATTTATTGGTGCAATATATGCCTGAATCACTAAAGGTACCTAACTGTAAACCGTTTCTGTACATATCATAGTTGTTATATAAATTAATTTATAGAAGGTACTATACTATATACATCGTTTAGTAATTGTATGAAGATAAGAAAACTCTAGACAAAACTTTTATAGTAAACCTATATACATATAGTAGTAGTAATTTTGCAAATTTCTTGTTTATCTAACATTTAACAATTTAACAATCGACTAACAACTAACTAATCAGTCATTTTTTTCTAGTTTCATCAAACGATTCAAACATATCTAAACAACAAGGTTTGGGACTTCCATTTTTATGTAGCGAAGAACTGGCCGGAGGATCCGATTTGTCTTCACTTCCCGGGATGTACCAGTACGGTAAGGAACTAATTTATCAACATTTGGACAACGCATAACTTAACATTGGAGTCTATGTGTCTTCTTATTTAGTACATAGGTGGATTCAATGTATACCTTGTTACTGAGAAAAGGACATCATATTTTCGTCTTCCAAATCTCTTACATTAACAGTTGCGTAATTGCATGTTGTGAAATGCTTCGAAATGGAAAATGTTTTTCTGAATAAATTCAATTACTGAAATAAATAAGAAACCTTTAAGAAGAAATTCTATTTTTGTTATCAAATCCCAAATTCATAAGAATCCAGTCTTTATTAGCGGTTCCGCGAATGTCGATCAGAAGTTTTCCAATTAACTTAAGATTTACGTTTCGAGGAAACGAAAATCACAAGTAAAAATAGAAATCTCGTCTTTTCTCGTTACTAGAAGTTTTGCAGTGGTACTTGAGTAATGCTATAGACACGTGCCTTGCGACACGGCTGTCACGGGATCTTGACATTTACTTGACTTTTCAAATAAGTTTTCTACAAATTAAGATTTCATTTTTAAATTATACAATCCTAACTTTAACATCTAACAAGTTGTTTAATACTTTGTTAAGCAGTCGCTTACTCTAGATATCTCTGAGTGCGGCAATAAATTTGGTGTACAGTCACATCTCCATACTCACGGTTACATTATTCGCGGGTAAAAAATTGTAGGCAAATTCCATATTCACGCTAAAGTTGGTAGCGGTTTCGGTATCATATGTACGAAACGTAACCACTACGAATGCGAAAATTTTAATGTATTTTACTAAAGTTAAATGTCATACAAACTAACTAAAACAACTGCCCAGAGAAATATTAAAATCCTCTTCTTCTTCCTTTGATGCATATCATTTTAAAATCTGGACACAGCAGCTCGAAATGTAGAACACATTCTTTCATACCCTCTCAATCGAACGAAATATTAAAAATATCAAGTGCTGGAAGCGAAAGCCAGAATATATGGAAAAACTTACTGGACCAGGTCCACCCTCGGCTGTGATAGTAGTAGCCAAAAATATACCTTTTGAAAAAAAAAACATTTGTTTATGGAATTGTCCTTACTCGACTCCAATGCCTTTTATTAAAAAAATGAATAGAAGATTTCTTTATAAAAGAACCTGAAAAAGTATACAAGGCAAACGGAACAAGCTTTCTTAAGCGCGCTTTGAATATTTAAACTTCCACGTTGGCCGTCCGCACTCATTCTCACAATACTCTATCATAATAATTTAAAAACCTGCGAATAAAAATGTGCAGTTAGTCATGTAGCGTGCATAAATAACGTGACCTACATTATTTGCAACTATAACAATGTATATAAAAATAATTTAATTATATAGTACGAAATGAACTAAGAAATTAATTATTATGTAAATGCCAAATTGATATGGAAACTACATGAAAATAATATTAAATAAGAAAATAGTACATTGTTCACATGTTGTCGAATCGTGATTTACGCTGTGGGGTTGCCCTATTGCTGCATCCACGACCGACCCAAGCTTTACATTTAAATACTAACAGAAGACTGATAAATAACTGTTTTATTTCATTGTTTGTTTTAATTTTGTTTTCATTTTCTGAAATGGAATGTGTTACTTGCTATATACCTTGTTTGAACAGACCACAGCTTTAGCGTCGTAAATCACAAGGTCAAACTAAGAGCTTGTTTAGAACAGTTTAGGTCAACATGTAAAAACTAATACTTAACTTTGGCAAACTACCAGAATGTTCCACTCAGATGTCTTTCTGTTTTTTGTGACCATGAATATACAGACGATTTGAAACAACCTGACAAAAAAATGAAAATATAATGGTACATTTATTTATGATTGGTACATCACTGTTTACCTTTAAAAGGTAGTAATGCACGCGTCCTATTAAAATTGTATTACATTTCTAACCGGCGTATATATTTTTGTTACAGCCGAACAGTCTCACATATGAGAGCGTGACGGTGTTCTGTCCCTCCGACCGCGCGGAACTAGTCGACCTGTTGACTTCTGAGGACATCCTCTTGGACCTCACCAAGCCGCTCTACCTGAACTTCACACATGAGGCGATCGTGAATCGCTTCGAGAAGCGCTATGAGGCTCATGACAAGATCACCGGCGACGTATATGTATGCGACAACCCGCCGGAAGACACCAGCGCTGATGAGTTCGTTTTTACATTATCTATATTAGTTTCACCATATAAATTCATAATATTACATTTCTAACAAGTCTTGTGAAAAGAGTCAATGAAACTTGATTAATACTTTACACAAATATTCCTGGCAATTAATGTAATTATGAAAATTTGCAGCCTGCCACCGGACGTGGAGCTAGTTCGCTTGCAGCCGGAGCACATGAAAGCGGTCCACGATTTGTATCCAGCGAGCGACATCGAGTGTTGCGAGGTCTTTGAGAAGCTGGTTGCAGAGCTACCCGCGTACGGCATCTTCGTGGAGGGCAAGCTGGCTGCCTGGATGGTGCAGTCGTACTACGGAGCCATGTTCTCTATGCAAACGAGACCAGAGTTTCGGAGGAAAGGCTACGGCATATACCTCGCTCGGCGTCTTACCAAGGAGGTTGCGGCTCGCGGCTACAAGCCCTTCGTAGTCATTCGTCCGGAAAATGACGCATCTCGCTCTCTCTACTCGAAGCTCGGCTTCGAGAAACGTTTCCGAACTGTGCGCGCCGTTTTGCGCCCCCGCTGAATCAACGTTGATCTTTAGCAGATTTTATTTTTTTAAGACTTTTGAAAAAAAAATCAATTTAGCTTGCGATCTTTGATCGTTTAGAGTTTTAGTAGTAGCTTAAGATCAGAGCGGCTAGTGTTCTCGTTCTTCGCAATTACAAATCTGCGTCACGTTTCACGTAAAATGTATTTATTCACTCATAAGGCATACTAATAATGATAATTATGTACATAAGCTCCCTGCAATATTTCGAATTTTTAGCGAAAAGAGCGAGAGCCACGGCCGATGCGTCCTTTGCCAGCTTAGATTCTGGTCTTGATAGAACTAACATGTCAAGAATAATTGAAAGTAATTCTATCAGTGTCATTCTGCCGTTGAAACATTTGTATAAAAATATATAGTCATCCCTCTCAAACTCTTTGACAAAATAGAGATGACAATATATTTCGTAGAGATGTTTCGCCTGTTGAAACTCATTGTCTGTTCCTCATTTACTTGACACTGTTGGCTGTCTGTCGTTTGGATGATCTCATTAAATCTCATGAAGCAAGCAGAATCGTGTCTGACTGTTCGGAACACTGGGACCTGTTATGATCTCATTTAAGCATATAAAACGGATGGTTACCTTTATTGCATTTAACTTGCACAATTAATCAGACACTAAAAATCTATCAGCACTTAATCTGACGCAATAGCAATTTTATAAAATATCATGCGAATAAATTACGTTTGTACGTTTTTTAGGATTTCTTAAGAATTTTTACTTTGGGTATGAAAAAGGAAACGGTAATAGTGTTATTAATGATTTTGTATTTTTTTTTGTGCAAGTGATGTCCAAATACTTAAGCGTGTAGTCACTTCGTTATTTTAATTAATGTAGAAAATCTATGTATTCTATTTATATGTGATTTGCTATTTAGGAATGAAAAGATGTATACGAACTGAAAACTATTATGAATATAATTAACTTTGAACAGATGTAGAAAGTTTTAATGTCGAAAGTCATTTAAGAAATGTAAAAATACATAAGCAGTTTTCAGTTTATATAAGCTTTTCCGTATACTCGGTTTTATATGAATATTGTTGGATATTGAAAACCATATAAAATTTGATACGAAACGTAGATAGGTAGGTATTTTAATATGGTAATCTATTTTACAATTATATATCAAATTATAGAGATATTATTGGAATGTATGCTGATCGTGTTATGAAAGGAAGATGGCTTTATTTATTAGTTTCATATTTTTAATTGTAACGATTATTACTTTATATTGTTTCATAAACTTATATACTGTACCTTATAATATAAATAGTGCAAAGCTAAGATATTTAAATCAACGGATAAATGTGCGATTTTGTCACTAGAGTTGTAGATAAACTGATCTACTGGAAAAAAATGTGGGGTGTCGAATTATGAGGTCAACAAAAAAGGAAAAATGTTATCAAAACTGCCAAGATCAATGTATTTACGATAATATTTATTTCATAGTTCCATTATCTTTACAATTAACGTATCACCGAAACTATTGCGATCGTAAATTTTCTATATTTTAATAAAGCTTCGCTCTATTAATACCCTAGAATAAAAACAATACAGTCATAAAATACATGTAATTTTTTCACGTAAATAAACAAAAAATTAAGCACATGTTTAATCGTCAGGTCACGGCTGCCAATTTTTTTTTTCCTTAGATTTTTTACTTTGACTCTCACTTTATTATTCGAAATCAAAATTTGCTCAATGCATAGAGCTTCCAAAATATTTGTTTAAGTTGTAGCGTCCCAGCTAATTTTAAGCGTTATGCCAAATTTTTTTGTAAAATTTATTGTGTTTGTGCTTTTCATTTTTAATACTCCCTCTGCGGATATAAAAATAACGCAATGTTCCATGACTTATATTTACACATCTGGTTGCATTTTGTATAAAACAATGGACAAAAGTAGCACTTGTTAAAATAAGAAAAAAAATTAACATCATTGAAGACATCATGTTGTATTCCAACAAATTGTTAATTCAACAATAAAATCTCATTAACACATCTAATCATGCTAAAAGCTTTTCCACTTGCCTACTTTTTAAGTAGGTATTTTCAAATAAGTAGTTTGAAGATTTCTTGAAATTGTAATTATAAGAACATTTTCTGAACATTTCTCTCTTGCCTAACAAATAATTGAAAAGGACAAATTTCCGTCCTCGATTGCAGTTGACGCAGTGTAATGCAACACGATTTAATCAAGATGTATTTCTACAGCTACATACATAAACAATGTAGTGTCAATCATGTATTGTTTATTATGTGATTACCTTGCAAAGGTATTTAAACAATAAAAACAATACTTAACATATTCGTTTTATTTACTACACTTTCTTTAGGAATACTCTCTTAAGGAACTTGATACATTTCCTAAGTATTTCTAATCTGAATGTTAAAATTTTGAGTAAAAGTGGCTAAAAGTCTGGTATCCATTGCTGTTTTGACGCCTAACGCCACTATGACAACTGACAACTTTTTGATTTAAAATTTAACGGTTTTTGAATCACTGGTCATTCACTGTGTTTAGCGGTTATATTACAAAACTTTCAACAGAAACCGTTTTTAAAAGTGTTGCAGTGCCTTTCGTAAAAATATATATAAACCAAAGTGTGAAGATACTGCAATGATATACTTAATCAATGGTGTAAGTTGACTAAGAATAAAAAATCTATGTGATGGATATTTGGTGCTTAATAAGTTATAAACCGTGCAGAAAATGAATAAAGGAGTTGCTAGGTCTCAGGTTGCTGCTGTTGCTGCACCGTCAAGGTGTGGTTCCACACAAAATATGTCTGCAAATGTTAAAGTTGTAGTAAGAGTTCGTCCTTTGAACAATAAGGAATTGGAGCATAATAACCAAATCGTAGTGGATATTGTAGACGATAAGATGCTGGTATTTGACCCGAAAGAAGAAATACGACCTTTTTTCTATCATGGTATGCAACAACAAAATAAAACCTTTTTGAAACGAGCAAATAAAGAGCTAAAGTTTGTATTTGATAACGTGTGTGGGCCGAATGCGACTAATAAAGATGTTTTCGAGACTTCTACTAAAGATATTATAACTTCGCTTATGGAGGGCTACAACTGCTCAGTTTTCGTATATGGAGCCACAGGTGCTGGGAAGACTTTTACGATGATTGGAAATATAGAAAACCCAGGAATAACTTATTTGACTATGGAGCATCTATTTCACACTATAGGTTCTTTCGGAAATGAGCGGGAATTTGATATTGGCGTCTCCTATATTGAAGTAAGGGCAAAATTATTTTATCTGTACTTGATAATTTTATTTTAAGACTGCTGAACCAAATAATTATTATTTTAAGTGATTTCATTGAAAAAAAATGTTACTATGTGCAGTATCTTATAAAACATCATTTAATTTATCATGTAATCCTTAAAACAAAAATCTACATCATCATTATAACTTTGTTTAGGTCTACAATGAAAATGTCTATGATCTGCTGAAGCCCTCAAACACGCCATTACAACTCCGAGAGGACTCTAAATATGGAGTAATGATTGCTGGACTTACATTATGTAATATAAATACTGCACGGGAACTATTAAACTTGCTTGAGAATGGAAACAAAAACAGAACACAGCATCCAACTGATTCTAATGCTGAGAGTTCTCGAAGCCATGCTGTCTTCCAGGTAATGTATTAAAATCGCTCACAGCCCACTAAAATAACCACAAACTTGCCTATTAAGTTCATTTTCATACTAAAAAGTAATATTAACACTGAACATTAAAAATAGCCTCTAAAATATTTTCTCTCTTAGTTGGAATCATTCTTATGAACTGCACTTAGTAATGGTTGTAGCTCTCTGAGCAAGATTTCTACAGCATCATCTTTATTCACCATGTCTTTGGGGTATAAATGAATTTGGGGTATAATATGCAAACTTTTGGTGCCCCTCTCTGTCTAGTGCCCTGGGTGATTGCAAAATGCCACTTGATATTATAATCTGTCATTGGCTGAATATTCTATACACATTTTTATTCTTTTCTAGGTCTATGTAAAAATGAGAGGCAAGGCAAGCAGTCAACTTCGTATTGTCAAATTGTCTATGATAGATTTAGCCGGAAGTGAAAGAGCATCAGCTACTGGTTGTATCGGAGACAGATTCAAAGAGGGAGCTAATATAAATAAAAGTTTGCTTTCTCTTGGTAATTGTATTAATAAATTGGCTGATGGAAGCAGTTACATACCTTATAGGTAAGTTTTATTTAATAAAATTATTTGAGGTACCAAAAGTGATAAGCAAAGATTACATGAATTATTATGAAAAGGTTCTAAATTGATTGCACATTAAATACTTACATAAAAGCTGAAGTTTATTTTTTGTCGGTAATTCTTACCTTAAAATTAATCTATTTGTCAATAAGCTAAAATCTCTTTATTTTTACAACAATTTTAATATTATTATTTTTTTCAGAGATTCAAAGCTAACGCGGCTTTTAAAAGATAGTCTCGGTGGTAATTGTAAAACAGTGATGATTGCGAACATATCTCCCTCAAATACCAGTTATGAAGACACTTACAATACTTTGAAATATGCCGCCAGGGCCAGTAAAATACAACTCAGTATAAAGAAAAATATTGTAGATGGTGACATGAGATTATCTCAATATGTAAAGATAAATGAGGAGCTGAAGAAAAAGGTCAAGGAATTAGAGGCCAAGTTGTCTTTGTCCACTGTCAAGGTTGTTGATAATAAGGACAAATGTAAGTATTTTTTTAAAAATATAAACTATAACTTAAAATAAATACTAAAGTGGAATTTGAAAACCTTCTGTCAAGCCCACATAATTGGTAATTTTCTAATATAAAGTAAGCTAGAATAGTAATGAATTTATTTCATTTTTACGTGTAATTAAAACGAGTGCGCTCGATTCTTTTTTTCACGAACATGGTTGTACTTCACACATAAAAGTGTTGACCATAAATGAAATGTTATGTTTCAGTAATGGAGGAATGGAAGCGTCGTATACTAGAGGAGGAGTCAGCGCTGAGCCAGGTGGAGAGAAAGCTGGTGTCGCTGATGTCCCGGCAGCGCGTGCTGGCGCTGCGCCACCGGCTGCGCACTCAAGCCTTCAGCCACGTCGCCGACCTCGCGCACAGGTCCTCATATGACGCTTTGCAACAGGTATGATTATAAAAAATATCAATGGAAAATTTTACTTGCCTTCTTCATAGTCGGTTAAGGAATTGACTTAGAAATCTACAGTAAGTGTTTCCACTATAACAAACTGTGAGTGCGATAATAAAATGTCAATGGTGCCATTAGCTCGTCGAGAAAAGGATGGCTCATACTCGCCTCGAGGGGCACCCCCAGACTACTAAAAATTCTAGTATGCATATAAAATTCCTTTTAATAAACACTTTGCTTAACCCAAATATTATTTTAAATGCATTCTGAAACTATATAATAGTCTAAAGTAAGACTAAAGCTTTTTCATGTTTTGACAATTTTTTCCAGATGTGTACAGAAGAAATACCTCGTCACGAAAGAGCAGCGGAGAATTACGTTAAACAATCTGCAGGCCTAGATGCTAAAATCAAGATCTGCTGGACGAAGTGGTGCGAATGTCGACAGAGAATGCAGAGTTTGTTCAAACAAGCTTTATCAGAATGTTCCTCTTTGTCGGACTTTGTTGAAAAATTAAAACTACAGAGCGAAATGAGATTGATTAAAGCTAGCGACGATCTGAGGTATAAACTACTATGTATAGAAAATGAGGAAATAAAAGCTTTCACAGATTACATGAGTGATATGCCGAGTATGCTCAAAAAGTTGTATTTGACTCTTAAGGGCTACGGACAAGCCCCTCCAGCACTCACAGCGGAGTATCTAGAAATAATGAAAAAAGCTAAACTGGCTAAAGGTATCACCTGGTGTGATTCACAAGATGAAGGAGATGATCAATTCAAATTCATATCAACATTAGATTTAGAAAAACCAATCATTAATCTCGAGTTTGACATCAAAAAGGATGGAATCGTTACAGATTTAACGACGGATAGTGAAGATTTGACTGACATAGAAAATCGTGACCCAATACGAAACTCCGCTATGAAACGGAAAGGAACACCGACGAAACTCAAAACTGACGAAACAGTATTAATTGATGACTCAATAGAACTTTTAGACACAACCAGAACTCTTGGTTCTGCAAAGAAATTGAAACAAGAATATGACATTCCAGTTTATGACAATCCCATAGATCCCAGTAACTTGAACTCAACTTTTGTATTGCCCGCGAAGTTAGAAAGTCTAAAAAAACAGCCGATTAAGAATGAAGTTAACTTAACAACAAGATCAGCTTTTATGAACAGGCCTATGGTTTCTCAGAAGATGCTCAACTTTAATGATAAAGGTAGGATAAAATAATCTTGCTAATATTATAAATGCGAATGTTTAGATGGATGGATGTTTGTTCAATGGTATTTCCAGAACAGCTGAACAGACCTTGATGATATTTGGCATACATATAGAAATTCAAAACTTTGCAAATGCTTAGAATCATCTTCTTAATTTTATTAATATATTTATTTATTTCTACAGTGTTTACTGTATTAATGTCTTTTTTACTATAGGAGTAACATTTAACAAACCAATAGTAGGCAAGGCGATGCCGTTACGTCGCGTTCCACCGACGTTAAACCCCCGCCCCACTGCCGGATTCGGCTCCAGTCTATCCAGAGACGGGACTCCTTTACAACGAAATATGCAAGGTAAGTTTTAACTTACAAATAAAAAGGCACTGTACAAATCAACTTTTGGTACCATGTTTTTTTACTTGTAGCATTAGTTTTTGGCCCATGGCTATTGCCAATATTACAGCTCACACCTTAGTTCTGTATTTTGAAAAGCATAATCATTAATGTTCTAATTAGATGCAATAATTAATATGTTTATTTCGATTTGCAGATGTTCCTCGAATGAAAGTCAACGACCCACAAAGATCAGTTGGCTACAAATCGTTCCGGGCGCGAGAAAGAGTTCAAGCGCATCCGTACACCAGACCCACGGGCGCGAATACATGGAGACATTGATATATTACAAGATTCAAACTTAATAGTGGCTAGTGATTAATTGTGAATGCATGTCTGTCCATATGGGTTAGTGTTGATTGAGAGAAGTGTGGGCTGGCATGAATCCCCACACCTCTTTTACTACGTATGTAGCGTCTCATATGATATTACGAGCCGCTATAAAGTTTGGATGAAACTAATACATGGACAAAGTTAATACGGCTTAACGAGTTCTTTAAGGGAAATTCTAACAAAAATCATTATAAAAGCTTACTAGCACATGTGGTTAATGTATAAGCTTTGTGTGGGCTATAAGTATACACGCAAAAAGAAAAAAAACCTACGTAAGATATATTACGGTTTTTATTGACACCTAAATATAATTCAGATTTCACAATATAATTATTCATTTTTTTTGACGTTCCGGTAAGTATAGTTTATTAGTATGACAATTTATCCAGAGTAATAAATTATGTTTGGTTTGACTCTTTTTGCTATTTTTTCTATCTTTATAGGTATTCTGCGATAATTTACATGTACTAAAAAGTTTGCTTTATTGCAGAACAAGTTATTTATTTTAAACTCTCTAAACTTAAATTGTGATACATTAGTACACAAGTGTTTAGGGTATAAAGTTTCAGAATAAAGACAAAAACTTGCAATTGACTTGACTTAAAATTGTAGACGAAATGACAACGGTTTTGACCAAGTTTTGACGCCATATTGAAAGTTTTACGGACTTGAAAGCCCACCTATTTATGTTTAAATATATTTCTACTTGGTATATTGCTACTAACAAATAATATTGAAATTTGTATTGCTTGATAATGGTAGCTCCATTTTTATGTGAATTATTTTAGACATCGTGTTGACGTATTATTAAGATTGGATAACAATATATTTAATTATGTACTGAGTAATGTGATTTTTCATACATTAACACTGTCCTAATTTTGTACATAACATTATTAACTAATTTTTATTTGTGAGGTGTTAATTTAATTATTAATTAAAGTGATTTTATGTATTCATTGATTTTATTATAAACTTGCTGTCGCCCGCGACTCCTTCCGCGTGGATATAAAAAAATTAGTGCAGCCTGGGTTCTTTCAGACAAACATAGTCTGAAAGAACACAGGCTGCACAACATTTTTTATACGTATGCCAAATTTAATCGTGATCCGTTCAGCCGTTCTAGAGATATCTTCAAACACCCATCCATTCGCATTTATAGTATCCTACATCCGTCTCCTGGCTCTCAGCTACCTTCTCAACCATTTTTCAGCCATATCGGTAAAGCCGTTCTTGAGTTATAAATAGTGTAACTAACACGACTTTCTCTTACATATGATTTCTTTTATATAGATGATTTAATTCCATTTCAATATGTACCTAATGATAAGGTTTCCATGAAGGATTTACCCTTAGGGAAAGGATTAGCAATATAATTGACATAAATTACTGACTCATAATTCTTAAAACTATGAAAGGGGCGTTACACGGGTTCGGATTAAAGACTTAATAAAATACTAATATTTTATTAAATTTGTTACTGTAGAAATACCTTACCAAATGCAGTTATTGTTTCATGAAATAAAATGTAAAATAGTGAGATAGACAACCAGAATCAATACAATATATAGTATAATTTTGTTCGCATAACTGAGAATTGTACAGAAAGGAAAAACACCCTTCGAGAAATAGTGAAGACAGAGGTCGGGATTTACAAAAACAATGGTCAGAGATCCAGTTCCATTTTTTTACAAAGAGTATATAAAAAAAAAGAGTATATAAATTTTTACCTGAAACAGGAAAAGTCAATTCATTAGCACAATTTTTTTTATTCTGTGCCATTGTGAATTAATATCTATTATTTTATTAGTCTTTGACGTAGAGCATAACCTCCATATTTTATATACTCTTTGATAACTACGAAATAGTTACATACTCTTTGTTGTTAATGAAAATGTCAAAATTTTACAACACAAATTTGCAATTTGCAATACATTTATTTGTGGAACAAATGTAAAGACTAGTGTGGTTATTTGTGGGCTATTACAGTTTATTGTTTAATATCATAATGGCCACATTAATAGCTAAAATCGACAAGTTGATTAAAAAGGAAAGAACTACACCCGAACGCAAACATCAAGATGTCACCAAATCATCAAACGAGATTCTCTCGGAGCTTTTTAGTGTGTTTAATGCTGATCCACCCAAGATTGAAGACATTTCAGTTAAAAAGTCGAAAAAGAGTAAAAAGAAACACAAAAAGGAAAAAAAGAAACGAATCCGTAGTACAAGTAGCTCTGATTCGGACGATAGTGAGTACTATCATAAGAGGAAAAAGCGAAAAAAGAGTAAAAGTAAGCGCAAAGAAAGAAGTAGCCGACGATCTCCTTCTTCTGATGGATCTAGAACTCCAGTTCTCATAAAAGATGAAGTCAATTTTTCTAAAGCTAAATATGATATTAAAGTTGAAACTCCAACCATCAAAATAGAGAGTAAGGTCAAAAGCGAACATCCGGACACTAATATTTGTATCAAAAAAGAGGAAGAAAAAAATGTCTCTTTAGATGCAAGTCTTATTCCTATGCCTGAATCTCCAAAAGACATTGAAAAATCGGACAAGAAATCTGAAAATTCAGACTGTGATAAATCAAGAGGTAAAATTCAAATTAAGAACTTAAAATTTAGTGCAGTGTTCGAAGAGACTGTGAAGAAAGCTGAAGAAGAAGCTCGTAAAAAAGCAGAGAAAGTAGAAGACGGGGAGTGTACAGATTCATCCAGTAGTTCTGTAAAAGAATTAGATATTAATTCACAATTTCCTAAATCATCTGATCCCGGAGGCATCTTAAAAAAGCAAGCAGCTGAGGAAATAAAATTGTAAGTAGATTGAAATATTACTCTTATAATAGAGCTGGTGTGGCTGTTTTACTTTTACACAAATAATATTGTTTTATTATAATTAACACTGGAATATTCATTACTTATTTTAACAATAATTTTATATTTATCAGGATTGAGGAAGAAAAGCATACTTTGAAGATGAGTAAAGCAGAGCCATTAATTAAACCTTCAAGAAAAGAAAGAGAAAGAAGCAGATCAAGAAGAAGGTATATATGCTTTGAGTAAATAGTTCTAAAATCATGGAATGCCAAATGAGTAATTTATAGAGTAAATGCCAATCATTCTGTTTGGGATCAAATATCCTACTGCAATTACTTTATCAAATACACAAGGTCTATTTTCATAGTTGTAGCTTTTAATCTTAGATGTATCAAAACTAACTAACTTTACATTTCTAGATCAAGAAGCAAATCTCGTGGTCGGTCCCATTCGTCGAAACGCCGCCGACACCGTTCTCGGTCACGATCGCGTCGCAGGAGTCGATCCCGTCATCGATCTCGTTCGCGACGGAGCTCCAAATCTAGGAGTCAGCATCACTCCAGACATTCACCGAGGCATCGTGGACGCAGGTCAAGGTTAGTCATTTTTAATTTGTAATTAAATAAATAAAAATATGGTGATGCATGTGGATTTTATACTAGACCCAGTTTTGAAGCCTCAGTTATTTTTTCTTAGTTGTTGCGAGTATGATCAGTGTAGGCTGATTATTGCTACTTTGATAAGTGTTTGCATCCAATGTAAAATAGAGGGATATTAAAGAATTATTGCCCTAATGTAAAACACAACAACTCTACAAACAAATGAGTTCTCAGAACTAAGGCCATTAAAATATATTTAAACTGCTACTGTATAGAGGTATTCTTTTTTTTTTAGGTCACCAACTGGCGTAAAATTGGCAGATAGTGAGAAGAAACGTCTTCTAGAAGTAGCAAGAAGGAATGCAATCAATATGCTTAAGAATGGAGCTGTGCCAGCCGGTGCGGCCGCATTACCGCCACATACGAGGAATCAAGTTATGGCAGCCATACAGTCAGGAGGTAAAATCTATATAAATTATTTATAACTTTTTAAGTTTGTAAAAGAATATTGTAGTAGTTGCAAATTTACTTTTTCAAAACACCATTCTTAGAATCATGGAGTGGTCTTGCTTAATAATTTAAAATGAGAAATATACACTAAAGGTCACCTTTAGTGGTTAATTAACAACTCCGGTTGCAACAGTAACATGTAATAATCATTACAGGTAAGTCGGTGGATGAATTGACAGACTTTTGTAAGCACTTGTCAAAGAAGGAAGCATTAGGAGAGCTGTCGTCGGTGTCATCCAATGACGATGACATGAGTGAGAATGAAGACACATTGGCATTCCATCATCCTTTCCTTGTCAAGGAGAAAGCGCCCATAGTCATGAATATTAGAGTAAGTCAATTCCTACTTTAAACAGTTTAGTTTTTAGTTAATGTTTTGAATTGGATTTTACCACATTGTACAATCATTCATTTAGTGCACCATGAAAAATTCAAGCCGCTATTAAAAAATTGCAGACCAAATAAATATTTTTGGACAACTAGGGTATCAAATGGAAAGGCTTGACTAGTAGAGTACTGTCAACTATGAAATATCCAAAATGGCCGCCGTCTCTAAATGACAAATATAATCATTATTTTTATTTTTTTTTGTGACTGAGTAGCCACTGTTTGCCTTGAAGATGCATTTACAGCTTCACCGGGCTTGAGGTGGCCGAGCGCAGATGGCGCTTAGCCTGAACCTCGTTTAAGAGTAACAAGACTCGAGGGCTCCCTCAGGATCCTCGGCTCGGGCTGTTACTTCGCTATTGTTACCGGATTGGAAATATAATCATTACTATTATTATCATGACATTATTTTTATATATATACTACTACTATTTTTATATATCACTACTATTTATCATGACACTATTTTTATATATCTATGTATCACTATCAAGTAAAAGATTTAAAGAAACAATGAAAAACCAGCAAATTTTTAAAAAATCATAAATTTCCTAGGGTGGTGCACCATTACCGGTTAAAACCAGTCTCGTGCCGATAGTCAACAAAGAAGAATTACGTCTTCAGTTCCCGGTATCCTCTGGCTCACAGCACAGAGAGAAGGCCTCCGAATGGGTGCCTGTATCACCAAAGAGAGATATGGTATGTTCAATTTGTACCAAATTAAATCCTGGATATTATAAACAATGGATATATAACACAATTTTATGTTAAAAGTGATGTTAGGAACAAACTGAAGAAGTTTTTGTTCTGTGTCTGTTTTTATTAGAACTTGTATTTGTGAGATAAATAAATATTTTTTTTTAGTTTATAGTGGTATTTGTTTTATAATATTGTAATAAGTTGTGACTGTAATTTTTTTTTTTTTTTAGCAAGTTGCAAAACTGAATTCAAAACCAGCGCCGACAAAATCAATACTACCTGCGCTAGAATCATCTAAGTAAGTGAATTACTTATTTTTTTCACTTTATTTTAAGTTTCATATAATAAATAATCTTACTAATATTATAAATGCCAATTTTTGGACGTATCAATGGATGTTTGTTCGAAGGTATCTCCGGAATGATTCAACGGATCTTGATGAAATTTGGTACAAATACCGCGTAGACAAAGTTGCGGGCTAGTAATATAATAAACTAGCTGTCGCCCGTGATTCCGTCCTCGTGGATATATGAAAAACTTAATAAGTGTAGCCCGCCCATCCATCCATCCACATCTAATCCATCTAAACATTCGCCTTTATAATATTAATAAGTTAAATAAAAAGCAGCTCTTCAAAACATACATTCGAAAAAAAAAGAATAACTAGTACCTTATGTCCGTCTCCTGGTCTCTAAGCTACCTCCTCACCAATTTTCAGCCATGTCGGTAAAGCCGTTCTTGAGTTATAAATAGTGTAACTAACACGACATTCTTTTATATATATAGATATGATAAAAAAATTATTTGTGTCCAGGACTGATGTTCTAGCGTTGCCCCCACCTCCCTCATCTACTGCCTATACAAAGAGCTTCATTTCTTCTTCACGTGAGTAATTTTTTTTTATATTGAGTTATCTAGCGTTTGACCACGATACTAACTAATGTTGATTGATGATGATATTTATTAAATATTATTACAAGGTTCTAATTGTTTTTTTATAATTTTGGTATTATTGTATTTCTTGTAGCTTTGCCTCCAATTCCAGCATTGCCTGCTCCCGGACCACAAGTATATCCCCCAGGTGTTGATCCTCCTCAACTGGTAAATAAATAGTTAAAAATTCTTAAAAGGCTATTGCAATTTCTGTTTTTTTTTTTTTGTTTTTATCTAATTAGACCAAAGCAACTTTAATTTCTTGTCTTTTTTTATCAGGATTTGGCGTCGATTGTAACTCAGAAATTGTCTATGATTCGTAAAGAACAAGAGGAGAATGAACTGGACACTACAACAGGGGTGAGTATGATTGTTTCAGCCCATCTGACAAACAAGCTATGTATTGTTACCAAGATATGTAAAATCTGGTAGCTTATATAACATGACCGAATATAAAAAAGAAAAGTATTATACAATTTGTTTTCTTCCCTGGAATGACAATAGGGTCGTCATCAGTCTTGCAGTCAGCGACACTGGCCCAGTGAGGGTTGTCTACACATATTTTTTAATTTCTTCGCAGATAATCTTGCAGGTAGCATAATGATGTTTTCCTTTATTGTAAGAACGGTTGATAATCATCATAAGATAATTATCAGGGGTGAATTTAGTTTTTTTATTGCTTTTTAGGGTTCCGTACCTCATAGGAAAAAAATGGAACCATTAGAGGATCACTTTGTTGTCCGTCCGTCTGTCTGTCAAGACCCTTTTTTTAATTGTAATATGTTTGTGCAGTTTGGTTGGTCAAAGGAGGCGTTGGGTCAGTTCACTGGTAGCACTGGCGCACAGATTCTAACACCAAGAGAACTGGCGAGCGGTACACAAGCCTGGGCCAAGAAGGTACATATATCATTCTATTGTTACATGAATAAGGCTCAAATTTGCGTATACAATTGTTTCAAAGTTGCATTGTCATTAAGAAAATTCACTGTCAATTATCAATGATTGTGAGTTTTCGTAGTAAATATGATGCAATGTTATGAAAAATATTGTCATAGTACAAAGTATCAAATGAAACCTGGCATGAGTTGACTGACGTCAATATTAGTATGATTTAGATAACAATTATTTGTAGATGAGGTCATTTTTAAGGAAATTCTTTTGGGCGTTCGTGTATTGAAGTTATAAATCATTTGACACGTTAAAAAGGAATTTTAACAATGAAACAGGTTTATTTTTACTTTAGATTTTATATAAACGGTGTAACTTTCTTAGTAACAAGAATATGAATTTATAATCAAAAGATATATAAAAATAATTTAAATCATGAAAACTTAATATATTCATGGTTATTTTGTAATTACCAGAAAGAAAAATATAACCTGTTGTCAATACTGATTAAGAAAAAAATATATTAAAAAAGTTAAAATAATTTTACAAAAAAAAAAATTATTGGATATTTATATTGACCTACATTGAATATTGTAATAGATTTTATTAACATAATATCTTTAGCTATAATGAAACTATGCTATTCTAATTAGACTTGTGTATATTAAAAAAAAATTACTGCAATCGCATGCAAGCAAATTCCTATTAAAATCAATATATCCATACAATTTATACAAATTCATTGTAATTTTTCTCATAAATGTCATACAACTTATCGGTTCGCCAGTGGTTTCATTGGATACTTCAAGCGTGTGATTGACTCTTCTTTCAGCAACGCAGGTGTGGTCGGCATTAGTGACGTCGCAGCGCGCCACCGGTCAGAACTTGTAATATCAGTATTACACCTTCTGACCTTGTTATCACGAATAATTTGGTTACGACAACATTGCACAATAATATTTTGTTTTTTTGCCCATATGTAGCATTTGATAGATGATTTTTATATCCTTTATTGTATGATTAGATTCTTTGCCAAGTTAGCGTAGGGTAAATCCAAAATTTTTGCAAAAAAACATCGCACAAAACTCCGAAAAACACAATTTTGGATGTGTAGAGCGTGGGGAGGGAAGCTAACCTTGAACTGCCATATTTTATTTATGATTTTAATTGATTTTTTTATGCAAACAACGTACGTTGCAATGTCGACATTAAGCCCGAAGATAGATAATCTTTATGGTAACTCAAAATAATCAATAGCATATGGCTGAATTCTACATCATTTATATACTGTGATTAATTTATTAGTTTTCTTATACAAAATTATTGTTCTATATCTGTTTCTGCATTAAAATAAACTGATGGCCTTTCATGTAGATTAATGGCAATGTTGTTTTAACCATGAATTATTCCTATCGCTACGATTTTCGTTTTTCGTGTAAAGAAAGAACTAGATAGTTCGCTCTTTACACCGTAAATATTTCGAGCTCTGTCCGCTTGGTAATTATCATGCCTTATCACAATAGTATTGGAGAGATGACTTTTAGACACATCTATACATACTTCGTCCTTAAAATTTTAGGTTTTACACATTTCCTGACAGAACTCGCTACAACGGCATCGCATACTTCATTACCTCAGATATTGTTAATATACACTATACATTTAATTTACTTTTTTTTAGGTTAGGTTGGTTTTTATTTTGATTTTCTATTAATAGGCGAAATGTCATCTCCCAATTCTATTATGAAAAGAGTTAAAAGGCGTGTTAATTATCATTAGCGTAAATAGGCATACAAATATTCAGTTTTCCCCTTTAAAATTTAACAAAACTGACTGACATTTTAATTATGACATTGCAATGGTCAAAACGTAAAATGTTGCCATGTTAAAAATCTGTCAGAATGAAATACTTAAAAAAATTAAGACAAAGTAATAAAAACTTATTACATCATTGATTATTTTTTCATTTAATTTATTGAGTCAGTCCTTTCGTCGAATCTTTGAAGCCGCGCGATCCTTCGAGCTACATAAAAGCTGGGAATATTTTTCCCAACTTCAGCTTTAAGGAGAGCGGGGCTTATCTGGGGATTTCTTGAATATTTGTTGCAGCTTTTAAGTGATAAGGAGCCACGGGCAGTTAGATGCGGCACGGTACGCCGATGATAGGTGCAATGTATACCAATGTTCCCAATCCACAGAGGTAAGTATCAAGAATTGGGCAAGAAAAAAGTACAATTTGAATGGGCCATTTAAGGATTGTACTTAAGTTTTCTTCTCCAGATGAAATTAATCATAATTGATACTATATTAAGTTGTTGCAGGATTTTTATGGTTTTTTTATATAAAACATTGCATTTGCGATTATATATTCTTATTTATATATATATATCATGATACAGACGTTTTATATTACTCTCTTTGTTGGTATAACTTACACTTGTTTTCCTCTAAAGTAAACTTATTCTTGGATTTCCTTTTTTTTATTTAAATTAAATTATATGAAACAATTTATGAAGCAAAGTATTCTTTATAGAGGTCTATCAAAAGTTTATTATTTATAGCCAATTTACATCAAATTTTTTAAGATAATTAAGATGTCTCCTCAAATTTTTTGTCCTGTTGTTAATTTAGTTTATATGTATAGGATCAGTTGGTTCGCGCTGCGCCCGTAGAAGGCGGTATGGGAATGCATTTGCTGCAGAAAATGGGCTGGACCCCAGGCCAAGGTCTGGGTAAGGAAGGAACAGGAACACTACAACCGTTGCTCCTTGAAGTCAAATTGGATACTAGGGGACTGCAATCTAAAGAAGAGGTCAGAAGCAGGCCGTCCAAAGGGGTAAGCAGACTTAAGGTTTGGCATTGCAAGAAAAAAATGATACTATTTGAATGTTACTAAAGATATAGTACTTTATTTATGTATGTCTGTTTTAAATAACATAAATTCACTTTTATTTAGATAAAGCCCCCAAGGGCGGCTAGACGTGGTGGAGCACCGCTTGTAGCAGGTGGCAAGCATCCTGTGTCACTACTTGGAGAGTACTGCTCGAAGCAGAAACTGGGGCCACCTGAATACAGTCTGTGCTTTGAGTGTGGCCCCGATCATAAGAAGAATTTCCTGTTCAAGGTTTGTATGTACACACTTCAATTGAACAACTAAAAGTTGCATGAGTGGAAGAAACGTTTAAAAGCCATCAACCATTTTTAACTTGAATATTTCAATATATTATATGTTTGATGATTTTACACATTAAATAAATGATACAATTACGGCGCCTTAGTGTAGATTTGTCATGTTAATCTTACTAATATTATAAATGCGAATGTTTGGATGGATGGATGTTTGTTTGAAGATATCTCTAAAATGGCTCTCAATGAAATTTGGCATTGTTATGGAATGGTCTGGAAGAATACGTAGGCTACTAATAATGTTTTTTTTAAATACCGTGTGGATGGAGTCTCAGGCGACTGCTATCTATTGATACATCTTTGTACAATATGTATTTTTCTTTGTTCCAGGTGAGAGTGGCTGGTGTTGAATATCAGCCGGCTGTGGCTAGTGCAAACAAAAAGCAAGCAAAAGCAGATGCAGCACAGTTGGCCCTACAAAACCTTGGCATTGTGACACAATAAAATATGAATAAAATGGATGTGTATCTTCTATTCCTATAAAAATAAAACAATTAATTAGTTGATTATATAACTTTCATTTATTACTGGAATTTTAATTTTCAAAGACAAATTGCATTATATGTCATTTAGATGCAGAAAAACAGTTCTAAAACTATCTTTGTGCCTAAAGCATTGAATTGTAATAAGATTTACTACATAATAACTTTGTGAATAACTGCCACTTAGTAGCTAAAACTACAATTCTAAATAAACTCCACCATATTCTTTTTTCAATCACAGATCTGTTCCATAGCCATCACCTCCCATTCGCTCTATTCCTTTTGAGGATTCTGCTGTTTAATCCTGTAGTCTGATAGAGCTGCCTTAATAGCATCTTCAGCAAGCACTGTAAATTACCAATTATTACATATCCTAAAGAAATTACAGATAAATTTGTTTTATTAAAGGAGAGGAACTAAATTTACATATTTCAAATATAATCAAACAATTTTATTATTGTTAGTGTCCAGTGCAACACAACCCTCAAATATAGCCTGTTAAAAGACACTGAAGAAGTAACCCCCATTGGTGCCTTGACTGGATTACATGTGAGTTAAGCCTTGTGTTTTAATTAGTGAAAACAGTTATCTTACAAACTTTATACAAGTTTATTTAAAAATATTCTTGATTTTGGTATATAGCATTATGTAAAGGATAAATTGCATTATGTATAACTGACCAAAGTCCAAGATAAATTTAAAATTATGTTTGGAATATAGTAAGGAATACAACTAAATAATGGTGTCATGTTAAAAACAGACAATACTTACTAGAACAGTGTAGCTTCACTGGAGGTAGAGACAATTCTTTAGCTATATCAGTGTTCTTCAGTTTCAGGGCTTCATCCACAGTTTTGCCTTTAACCCATTCAGTAGCAAGAGAACTGGAAGCAATAGCAGATCCGCAACCAAATGTCTTGAATTTAGCATCAATTATCTTGCCATCTTCATCAACTTTGATCTGCAGTTTCATTACATCTCCACATGCAGGAGCGCCAACGAGACCGGTGCCAACATTTTTATCTTTTTTATCCAAAGAACCCACATTCCGAGGATTCTCATAGTGATCAATAACCTAAAAATATTTTATACATATAAAGTAAATGTAATAGATATTCTGATATCAGAGATATTATAAGACATACGAAATCATATGAAAAATCAATAAACCTTGACATTGGATTCCATTGCATAAGAAAAACAAACTCACATTAGCATGATACGCAGCAGTCTGTATAACGTTAATGTTATTTGAGCTGTTTAAGCAAAAGCATCTACGTAAATTAGGGATTAGGTACGCCATTTTTTTCGAACACTTAAATTCGTAGAATCAAATGCACTGCCAATAGTTCTCACTCTTGTAAATCTGAATACAACGCAGTTAAATTATATTGATTTTGACAGTGTGACAACAGACCATAGATAAAAAAGACATATACCGGTTATATGCTCTTTGCCGGTAACAAAAACTGACAGATACTGAATGAGAAATCTTCTAAAACTCTATGGTTTTCGCCAGTTGGCTGTCAAGTGTTTTGTTGAATTGATTTTCACATAAAATCATGACAATTGGTTTTCGGCGTATATGTAAACTAGTCGTTCCCATTGCCGGTAGCGTACTTTGTTTATCTCGCGCACAATTTGCAACTGTGTAAGGTTTATTTTTGTTATATTAACTAAGCATTATGTAACAGACCTGAAACTTGCACTATATTTTTTTATTGCGTATTATCTATATATCTGTAACTATTTACTCTTCAAGTATGAGTCGCAGTTCTTAAAATGTCGATACATTTTGATTTTATTATTTATATAAAATTTAATTTTATTATTTTGTAGAAAAATGGCAACCGCAAATGTTGATTACAAAGCGGCGAGCAGCATTCATGAATTTACTGCGAAAAACATCAAAGGTGAAGATGTAAATCTGGACGTTTACAAAGGTCATGTTTGCATTATAGTTAACGTCGCATCACAGTGTGGACTTACAGCAAACAACTATAAGCAGTTGAATGAGCTGTATGATCAATATGCCGAAAGTAAAGGTACGATTTTTTTAAATGTTTCTAACATGAAATTTACAATAACATTAAATACTACATAAGAAGTGATAATCAAAAATTATTAAATGTATTTCATATACTTCAAAAAGAGTTCTCTGTTATCTTGATGACTGTAAAAGATATTTTCATCTATTTAGGTTCCAGCGTTTTTAGATTCTCTACAACTATTTTATTGTCAATTTTTAATAGGTCTACGCATCCTCGCTTTCCCGTGTAACCAGTTTGCAGGCCAAGAGCCAGGTGATTCAGAACAAATTGCCTGCTTCATATCAGATCGCAAAGTCAAATTTGATATGTTTGAAAAGATTGATGTGAATGGAGACACTGCTCACCCATTATGGAAGTTTTTGAAGGTAAAATATTTTACTAAAATTCTTATTTTTAAATAATAATTATATATTTTCTAGAAATACCTCCAATTTCCGTGACTTTTTTTGTTTAAGTTTCCTTTTTTAATTATATATACAACATAAGTATTTATTATAATCATAAAATGATAATAGAATATATTTTAAAGTGGCATTGAATATCATTAAAAATACCATCTATAGTTCATTGGAGTTATTTAACAAACAAAATAACAGATAACCATTACTGGACAATAATATATAAAGATTATTTTGTGGTTGCACCTTTTATATTGACAAATGATGATAATTACCACTTTACTACTATAAATATGGTTTCATTATACATATTAAAGAAAAACAATCCAGTAATTATTTCGTATAATATATGCTTATAAAAACAAAGCCTTCCTTTACAAACCATCGTTTTTAGGGTATAAGTGACAGGATCTATAAGTTATAAATATAATTCTAGATTAAAGTATCTATTAAAAAAAATCAAAACAAATAGATTGCTTTGCTATCTTGGATTAATGATTCATATTTATTGATATTTTAGACCTTGAACTCATTGCCTTATCATGACCTTGTACTAGTCATATGGAATATTTCTATGTTACTTGATTTTTATAATGGAATTTACTTTTTTATTTACCTAAAAATAATCAGTAGTAAATATTAGCAAAGATACAATAATGGTTTAAGTCTTTACTGCAAAATCTTATTGTTTTATTGTATGGTCAATTTTGTATTTTATTTTTATGGTCAGCCATAGATATGAAACATAGATTGATTTGGAATACGAAAACCCTACACTTAAAACAACCTCATTATATTTATAACTAGTGGTCGCCCGAGACTCCGTCCGTGCGGAATTGAAAAAAAAAACATAATTAGAAGCCTTTGTTTCCTCTTATAAAGCTTATTTATTCTTCCATCCCTCTAAACATTAGCATTTGTAATATTAGTAAGATTGTTTGCTTTTTCTACAAATTAAGTGAATCATTATCATTATCATTCTTAGCATACTGTGTAATTATATTGATTTCTTAGTAGTGTGTTAATAAATAATGAGTCAAACTCTATTGTATGTTATGACGTGTTCTCATATCGATTTTTTGTCGCCTTGAAACTACCTGTATTTGTTCTTTACAATATCAACTTCCTTATAGATAAAACTAGCTGTCGCCCGTCCGAGTGGATACAAAAAAAAACTTAATTAGTGTAACCCACTCATCCATCCATCCACATCTCATCCATCTAAACATTCGCATTTATAACATTAGTCAGGTAAATAAAAAGCAGCTCTCCAAGGCATAAATTCGAAAAAAAAAGAATAAATTGTATCCTATGTCCGCCTCCAGGCTCTAAGCTACCTTCTCACCAATTTTTAACCATATCTGTAAAGCCGTTCTTGAGTTATAAATAGTGTAACTAACACTACTTTCTTTTATATATATTGATATCGAAAAATTTGTGTTACCTGTATTTGTGCAACTAACAATGCAATGATTATGTATTTTAATATCTGTTTTCAATATGATTCTGAATAGTTCTTCTGGTCTTAACTCTTTAATTTATTAATGTTTGTATTATTTTTTCCATTCACAGCTCAAACAAGGTGGAACCCTTGGCAACTTCATCAAATGGAACTTTACCAAGTTTATTGTTGACAAGAATGGAGTACCGGTAGAGAGGCATGGACCTAATGTTGATCCAAAAGACTTGGTCAAGTCTCTTGAAAAATATTGGTAAAATTTGGAAAAAAATACTCAAATGAATACTTTGTTATTTTTATAACCACATACTCTATTAGTAAGGCTTTAAATTTGTTGCTTTTAAAATATTGTGATTTATATGCATTTGACACAGTAGAAATGTGTTTATTATGTTACAATTTATTAAATATTTAATCAAAATTAATATTAATTATTTAAAGGTTTTAAGAGGACTGTTTAAAATATGTTATAGTATTTTTTTTGGAAACATTTATGTATTGATGTTAGATATCACAACTTTTATAATAATTACATCACCAAACAAGTAATGATTATTAAGTAAAGTTATTTGCATTTCATAATATGATGTTTTTGGTATGTTGCAGTAGTTGTATAGTGTAATATTTTAATAAAAAAAAGTTAAATCAATTGCCACATGTTTTTTTTTTGTTTTCATTCTGAATGGTAGATTAAAATACTATTGTTAAAAAGCAAAAGTCGTGCTCTAACGGGTTTATCCTCGCCCATTAAAGCGCAACTTCAAGTAGCAACTATATAAAACTATAGCATGATTATAGACCCATATTTAAAAGTGACTTGATATTAGAAAATTAAATTTTACTGGATTACATTTTTATTATCATCAGATAATTATTTAACGTAGCCTAAATCTATATATATAAAAGAAAGACGTGTTAGTTACAATATTTATAACTTAAGAACGGCTTTACCGATATGGTTGAAAATTGGTGAGGAGGTAGCTTAGAGCGAGGAGACGGACAGAGGATACTATTTATTCTTTCTTTATTTTTTTCGAATTTATGCCTTGAAGAGCTGCTTTTTATTTAACTTGGCTATATATTAAGTTTTTTTATATATCCACGCGGACGGAGTCGCGAGCGACAGCTAGTGATCGTATAAATCTTGAATCTTTCGCAGATACGTTATATTCGTGGTTAGGCTATTTATTTTCTTTATTTGCCATGATCACTAAACCAAAAATTTTGGATTAGTCCATCCATTCCCCGTGAAAAACACCAAGGGGTGTCAGACATCCAACAAATGATGTCCCAGAGATTATGTTTTAACGGGGATAGATGGACTAACTCGAAATTTTCATAGTCTACACACCTATCTAGTGTCAAATTGAAATGACAGGTTGACAGCGTATCTAATTTTAGCGCGCTCTATTTTTGACCAATCACAGCGGAAGATTTTAAATTTTTTTCTGTTACGTCGTTGACGCTTGGCTTTGCTTTGCGTTGGTATTGATGTGGATTTGGACTGTGATGTTTTGTTTTGTGACATTTTTGAATACCTAAGTTATTCAGCATTTAATTTAAATACATTTTATTTCTGAAGCAACCATTGGATAGTACAATCTAAAGTAATTATATTATTTTAGATGAATCGTCATAAGCTACGCGTGTGGTTGTTAATTTTAGAAATCGAACGAGAAGCATAACAGGAAAGAGTTTAGTGTAAATGTGCTTATATTAACAATTTGTGCTGTAATTTTAAATACAATGTCTACTAGAAGTGGTAGAGTTAGACAAAGTTTGATAGAGCCTTCACCTCGATCTCGTAAAGGTGTTTCACCGTCTCGATCTCCTGCAAGGTCTAGAAAAAGTTCACCAGGTACGCGCTCATCGACTCGTAAGTCTCCATCTCGCAAATCTCCTATAAGTAAATCGCCTAGTCGTAAAACTAAAACTCCGACTTCAAAGTCCCCTTCGAGACCTGTGAAAGAAACTGAGAGTGTTAAAGTAACTACTCCAAGTAAACGGCAAGCTCTAAGGTCAAATGTGGAGGTTAAACTGACTGATATAGCAGATAAAGTGGATTTCTACCGGACCACTCGGTCACGTCTTATCGAATATTCAATAGGAGATCTTCAATCTAATGTAACACAGACGGAGTTGACAAATGATCAAACAAATGGATTAGAATCTCGCTTTACAACTCTCAGTGACTACAATTTTCGACTCCGTAAGCCTTATGAAGTGGTACCTACACGTGTATCCAGAAGATTACAGGAGTTAGCAGACAGTAATGACAGACGAAGTATCAGTAAGTCGATCAGTGAGAGAAGTAAATCAATTAGCAAGTCTATAAGCAAGTCTATTGGCACTGTATCAGATGAAGAAAATTCAGATGATGATCTCCCCAGAAGGAAATCAACGTCTGTCACAAGACGATTAGCAACACCGCTAAGGTCAAGTGTTGCAAAACTGTTGCCAGCTAATAAAAAATTTGAATTTGGAGGAAAATTGGGCCCAATTCTTTTGATAATATTGATACCATTGACTGTATTTCTTATATTAATGGCTTGCTCTAAACTCTGTTCACACAGTCATCTGTGTGACTTGACCGAATTTAAGTCTATTTATATTTGGTTCAATTATGAGTCAATGGTGCTTCTTGGTGCACAATACTTAATTCAGGCTTTACTTCTTGTTTTGCCTGTTTTTGGTCAAAAAGACAATGAAAAAGGGAAGAAACAAAGCTTCAATGCGTTTTTCTCTTGCATACTTACTACTACTATCCTGTTTTCTTTGAATTATTTCAAAAAAGTCAATGTTGATGCATTAATGAAGTTGTATTTGAGTTTAGCGGCCACATCTTATATTACTAGTGTTTTATTATCTATATTTTTATATATCAAGAGCAGGAAATTAGATGCTGCATCATTAAACCCATATGGCAACACAGGATATTTTATAAATGATTTCTTCATTGGGAGAGAAATTCATTCATTCATAAAAAAATTAAACATTAAACTATGGATTTCTCGAGTATGCAACATAAACACTGTAAGTATTAAAAAAAATATATAACTTTATTTAATCTTAGTAACTGGTATTAATTTGAATTTGAATATTTTCAGCTTATTCTATCAATACTTATTTTTAAATGCGGCTTTCATCTACCAACAAAAGACATTCAAATGCTTTCATTGGATAACTACAAGGAGTTTGTTAGTAAAGTGCAGTACAAACCCACTATTGTGCTGTACTCAATGATGCAAATAATATATACACTAAACTATGTGTTGAAAGAGCACAAAATAACATCAACTTTCTACTGGCAATCTGAAGGGTTGGGATATCTTCAGACAGTTTGTAGCGCCCTCTATCCTTTCTATTTCACAAGTATATCTAAATATTTAGTTGATGTTGAACTAGAGATGTCTACTAATGCATTAGTTGCCGCATTAACACTGTTCCTGTTGGGATTCCTTATAATGCTTATAAGTAACAATATTAAACATGAATTCCGGAAAAATCCATGCCATCCCAGTGTTACACGTAAGTATTGCTTTTTGATATATATTTTTGTTAACTGCAAGTGTAAATTTATGGCTGTATGTGAACAGATTATTACAATAATTATTTTGACTATATTGTAACCCATTATTAATTATTTCTTCACCAAGCTTGAATTTGTACAATTTGTTAAACAATTGTGGCGCGAGTCTGTCCACGTGGAATTAAAAAAAAACTTAATTAATAGCCAATGTATATTTCCAGAATATGTTCTAAACTTATTTCATCAAGATCCCTTGAGCCGTTCTGGAGATACCTTGTAATAAACACCCATCCACCTACACTTTCGCATTTATAATATTAGTGAGATAAAATAGTGAGATAGATTTAAAATTCCTATTTGATTAAACAAATTGTGTAAAGCTGTCCTTCATAGTTACTCCATACTATACTACACTAATAAAAAAATATCATGAAAATATGTTTCTTTCAGGTTTGGATTCTATGCCCACGTTGCACGGCAACAAGCTACTAGTCTCCAATCTTTGGGGAACTCTACGTCATCCAAATTACACCGGTGATATAATAATTCATATAGCTTTTGCATTGCCAGGTATTCTTAGTAAGAAACCTATAATAGCTTTGCCTGCGGTGATAACTGTATTTGTTTTATTACATCGTGCATGGCGTGACCATAACAGATGTTTACAACGTTATGGATCAGCTTGGCAAAGATATTGTAAGAGAGTGCCTTCGGTAATAATACCTAAAATATTGTAATTTATACAGAATCATTTATTTCATCAATTAATTAGATTTTAAATGACATTTATTTATGTAATTTGCTATTTGATATAGCGAAATTTTTATCTTTTCGTGGAGTATTTTTTAGTTAGTACCAAATATCATGAGAGATTATATTTAGTTAACTTTAACTGTGAAAGAGGGAGTAAGGGAGTGAATTCACATTTGGCTGGTATAGGTTGGTACAAGTAGTAAATACTAAGCATCCATGCGTTTGGAGTTGAGCACTTGACTTGTAATCTGCAGGTCCTGGGTTCAAATTCATGCACCAAGAGTGCTGACGATTTACATATTACATTTAGCCGACAATCTTACGGAGAAAGAAAACATACAAAACATAGTTATGTAAACAGCACATATCTGCAAAGAAATTAAAATTCATACAAGAAAGATATGTATGAAGTCAACCAAGCTGCACTGGGCCAGCGTTGACTGTGGCCTAGTCACTGCTAACTTAGGGTAGGCTCCCCAGTTGGGATGTACAGTGGGTTGATGATTCTGTGTCAGTTTGTGGTGAAAAAGATAGGCTGATGTTGAAAGATTGATTGTTTAATAGCACAATTTATTTTTAAAGCCGTTGTTGAAGAGCCATACTTAGCCTTATACTAGGTTTTTTACTAGGATATAAATTTAAGTAAGAAGATTTTAAGTTAATTCAACTACATGTGGAAATACAAAATGAATTGTCATTTTATGAAATCTCTGAATAGTGTTAGTTTAACCATAGTGCTTTGTTTTTTTTGTATAAAGTATTACATTAATGTTTTTTTAAATAAAATATACTTAATCTATGGTATGAGTGCCATATGAAAAATTTTACATTTTAAAAGACATGTGCGTATTTAATAGTTTATTATATTAATTTTATATTTTTAAAGTACAATAGATTTAGAATAGATTTAATGCTTTTTTTTTATATTTACTTTAAAAAGATGTTTATGTAAGGTTATTTAAATAATAATTTGAAATGAGTACAAGATGTAAGTATATGGGAAGGTGCATTGACCTAAGATCTAGAATAATCTCTTCCTTTACAACAAACATTTTTCTTCATACTATTTTATGTGCTATGTCTTAAAATCCATTTTCATTGCTCTAACACTTATATTAAAAAATGTCAGGTGATATATGTTGACAATGACAATATGTTTTTATACAAATTTTTCGACACTGGAAATCCACAGTTGTTGAAAATAATGTGTATTGTATTACATTTTTAAAGGAATCTCTTTTCTCACTATTATCCTTAAAGATTGGGCGAAGAAGGATATTAAAGCCAGTTAGAGGCGTTGTCATAATTCAGTTTGACAAGCTTAAAGATATTCTTGTTGGTTGTCTACCTTGCCATTTATACCACCGTCATAGTTTTATAGACATTTTTTTTAATTTTTCAAGTTTAATTCAATGGTATTTCAAAAACTGACATGGTATAAATATTGTTGATGATTTATTTTTTTGGACTTGAATACTTAAGGGGTAGCATAGAAAGTGACTTAAATTTTTGTCTTTTCGAAAGTGACAAATTACGGATTTTTTTATGAATGAAATAATTTTTTTAAAGTTTTATATGAAAGATCTTATTTTCAATTCACTAAAACACAAAATTAGTAATAGGTGACATTTAAAGGAAAATCTTTTCGGTCTTTTTTCCGGAAACTTTGAGACCAATCATTGTTTTTTTTTAACAAAATAAAATCATCATATTTTTGAAAAGAATTAAATTTAAATATTGGTATAACTAAAAAATATATATATCAAGTAGAAATTTTATAAGAAATAATCTATCAATTATTTTTTATTAATCTTATAAGCAATTAAGCTATTTATCAAAGCGATGAACAATTTAAAATACCTCTAGGTTATTTATCTATAAAATGTCTTTGAAATTAAGGATAAAACTAGTATTTGTACACAGGGTTTGTGATAAAATTGTGATTCTCACAAGCTTTAACAGTCCAAATGGAAAATTTTACAATTCAAAATAACAATTGCTCAAATAATTAGATTTTCGATGGTGTTTATTCGTATTATTCATTTTTATATTTGCAAATGTATATTTAAAAGTAAAATATTGTTCGTTGATTTGTAAATGGTAAATTAGTCATTTTAAATCGACAGTTATTTTGGGTTGATTTTTTGAGACTCGTATAGGTGCATAATTATAATTTTGCATCATTAGATCCATGCCAATATTCTTATAAAATTTTAATGTTGCAATTGATTGTAACCAATCTTATGTTTTAATAAACCTTTATTTAACAATAATATTGTTTCATTTAATATTGAAACCTCATTTCCTATTTAAACTCTGTGACGCGCCTAAAGACAAACGCAAGGGGGGAGAATGCAAAGGATGACAAATATAGAAGGATATAAATGACACGGTAATGGAGTAATTGTGTAAGTGTATTCTAGTCAAATGCGCAAGTGCCTATTGCAATATTATTACGTGCTTAGATAAATCAAACACAATTTTTATTGAAATTTTTATTTTTTCTATAAAATACACATACAATTGTAAATAATAATTCAATATTTAATTATCTAGTTACACATATTTATTCATATACACACCGATAACATAGGTATTTGAGAAGTACCGAAATTGAAAAACAAAACGTTATAATGCGAAGTAACAAAGCACATTTATATTTACTAGCTAAATGACGTTTTAGTTCTATAATATTTGGCCTGTTATTGCTTAATTTGACTAATTATGAAAGAAATGGAATATACCAAGTTACCTTGATAGTACTCGCCGGGATAAACATACTCGATATTGATTATAATACAGATAATAAATTATAACATACAATTAAAAGCTCGACGAGGCTATGCCACAGCTGATATCGAAGCTTAACGAAAATTTTTAAATAAATATCTGATTTTACATTGACTTTAGGCATAAAATATTTTTACAGGGTTTTTTTCGTATAATGAGTAAAATAAAAAGAAACGATTTAGACTATTTTTGAATGATTAATTACCGTTATTATTTAATTCATACGCGTGGCGTGTTATTGACATTTTTATCTTTTACTATTTAAAATCAATGGCGACGTTATTGTAAAGTTATCTATTTTTTTAATAGACAGAATAATTTAAAAATGCACTTCAATAAATGCAATACAGAATTTATTACATTTATGCCATTTTTAAATTACCATAATAAATAATTTAACGAACATTACAACTGTAAAAAATTAAGAATTTTACATCGTCATAAATACATTCTACAATAATGACTGATATGTAACTCTTATGAATTTGGAATTGAAGAGATAATCAAGAGAGGTGCAGAGGGGTTTAAAAGTTACACACGCGTCCACATCATGTCATTATTCTGTGCGTTTTTATGTAAATAACAATTCAACATACGAATTGCATTTATATACAATATTTTCACATTGTTTTGTATTCCCTGAAAATATCTATGCATGACTATTTTAGCTTACAACGACAAAACGCATCAACGTTAACCTTTTGATTGCCATCATCGTAATCCTACGGGTAATAAAAAAACATCGACAAAGTAACTTTTGCCTAAACAGTAAGTAGCAACTAGGCGCAAGTCTTATAGGAATGATAAAAATATGTTCACATAGGCCAACAATCGTAAGTGCTGTAAAATAATGATTATTACATAAAATCTCCACTGACGTGACACTTGATTTTGTCGTCGCAGTTTTGTCAAAGAGGATGAAAAGGATGACCACATGTAATAACAAAAGTGTCACGTCAGTAGGTTTCTACGGTTATCTTCGAAAATTACATATCTGTTTCCGTTATTAATATTTATTAATAAGTTACATATACTATTTTAATACTATACAAGACATTTAAGATACGAAAGTTGGATAAGTTTAATCAAGGTTTTATAGTATGAGAATTGGCACAAAACAAATTTGACCGACGCAAAATTATGTAGGGAAATATTTTGGCACTAAATCTAATTACTCCGCGTTTTTAACTTCCCAGCAAGGAGCCAATGTGAATTACTTGGTGTAAAGCAAAGAAGCACGATTTGTATTTTGTAACATCAATATAAATTAAAATTATCTGTGAATCTAAAAATCACCTATAAATTGCCATTTATACATTCATTAATTATTAAATATTTGAACGACTTACATCATACTTTCTAACAAATTACGGTAATTTATCATAAGACATCAATTTGAATAATATAAATAAAACGATATTAAATCTTTCACAGCATATTAACGATGGCTTCAAATCGACACGGCTTAAAGTGAAATTGTGAAACATAATTTATTACAGGGAAGACACACAAATATCTTATCTATGTAAGCTCGACCGACAATAAAGTTTAAATAAAACACGTTTGTAACGGTCGTATTGTTGATATCCCAAGTCCATATTATGCCAGGACAGTAGCGGTCAAAATCAGCGCTGGCATAATGTAATAACTGGCGCCAGTGAGCCTATACAGTATATACCGGCGCTACTGTTCTGGAATAATGTAAACAAGTTATCAAGGGCGAACTGATCGATTTTATTTCATCAATTTTTAATCACACATTAACATTTTATAATTATTTTATGGTGGTAATACACATATCTACTTAATAAGTTTTTATGATATAAGTTTATGTCTTCTAGTTATTTGGTTCCATTTAACATTTACTATGAAAATATACATTTAAATCTATAAATTGTATGGGAGTATGTACAGAGTAAAATATTTACAAATGTGACATTTTTTATAAAAACTATAATTTTGGGTAGCAAACATTTTGTTAGCAAATTAATCCACACTTGAAATAACATTAACCATTTCATAGATATATTACGGTGAAATCTTAAAACTGGATAAAATATAGAATTGTAAAAATGGTTAAAATATAAAAAAATCAGATACTTTGTTGGCATTATGGCAGTGGTATTGTAATGCACTGCGTAAAAAAAGTTTTAGACATTGAACTTTCACCTTTTAGAAAAGGTCTCGAATTTAAAATCTAACCGAATTTAAGCATTTTCAAAACCATTTTTGGTAAATAGTAATGTTAACAGGTGTAGGCTATTGTAAGCAGTGCGATAGTACTTTTGTAGGTTAATACAATTAAAATTTGTACTTATAAAAAAGACATATTCATATTTCATATGAATTGGACACATTGAAATGCGGATAAAGGACGAATTGAAAATTGTGTTTTAATTTATTAAATTAACGCTATGCGAAAAAAAAATATTTCACATATATTAAATGAGTACATTACTCTAGATATTCTAATTAAAATGGCCGGAACAATTGAAAATGAAGTTGAAAAAGTTAAATGCAATTGAAAACTGTATTAATATTGGAACTGCCAAAATTTTGTTTATGAACGAATTTAAATATTATATTATAGGTCAACAAATTTTAAATTGCAAAAATCTTAGTGCTAAAATAAAAGGTATATTTATGGTATAAAATATTTTGTGTGGCAACATTATTTGGTTTTATAGAAGTAAATTACATTCATTTTATAGCTAGGAGCTATACTAACCATTTTAGCTAAATAACTGCATCTACACATCAATGTCTTTAGATAAAGATTAGTAAAAGACAAAACACTGAGATGCTAGAGTCAATAAAACTACACATGTATGAGTTTATACGTAAGTATTATTTCGTTTGATTAATTTAAATTTTAATTATTTTGAAACGTGAAAGTAATATTATAGCCCCCAACACTATTTTCAATAATTCATTTAATTTGTTTTAATATTTGCCATACCATAATTATTCATAGGTGGCAGCGGAGTTTGTCGGTTACGTTTAGGGTAAAATTTAAAATTAATGTCCACGCTGATAGCGCGACTTATTTATACATCTATCTATTAGAAGATTTTAGATTCACGAAGCACAGAATAATTATTGCTGTCATGGGTAACTCAACTATGACCTGCAGATCAGCTCACATTTAGATCTATGAATTATAGATTTATGAAACAGATCATTGAACCGACACGCAGATTAGCCCAAATGTACCCGCATAGAGTTATAGTCACTTTCTGTACTCGCATAATAGCTCACGACTTCTCGGCTCGCATAGTACTCGCGTTGTTAGGTGCCAATTTAGTTATTGAGCTGCAGCATCGGTTCAAGCCTACGTGAGCTGAACTTTTGAACCCGTTCAAAGCTGATCTACACACGTCTAATTATTGCTAAAGTCGAATATTGTAGAAATTTATAGGTTATGGTGCGTGGCGCGAGACTGGTCTCCCGCCGTCGGGGCCTCGTCAGAAGTTGCTGTCAAAGACGCCCATGGAGCGGATAATATCCTCGTCGCGCAGGCAGCAGTCGAGGAATTCATCGAGTGTCAGGACGCCGTCGCGATTTAAGTCCATTTTCTGGAAAATATCATACATTTAAGATTTTTTTAATATTTAGAAAGTACCCTTTATATGCTGATCTAATATGCTCTAATATATAGGCGTTTTCCTGAACATTGCAATACAAGTTTTATAAACTTGACCCAAAATTTTATTTTTAACTGCGGTTATTTGTTTTGATAAAAGAAACGTTACTGCCAGTTAGAGAATCGTTGGACACTAAAGGACTGCTGTAGTAAGTCTTGAAGCAATACCTGAAAGAGTCGTTCAACTTTCTCTCGGACCGCATCGTCGTCTATCATGGGTTCTACAATCTTGCCCATGAGGTCATAGATGGCTGTGACAATTTCAGTCATCTCTTCCTTAGTTATATAGCCGTCGCCGTTAATATCGTATAACGAAAAAGTCCACCGCAATTTCTCTTCCAAAGTACCTCTGGATAATATTGACAAGCCGGTTACGAATTCCTGAAAGATATCCAACCAAGGATTAGTCTTGGATATAAGAAGAAAGTTTACTATTGTGTTTACCTCTAAATATTCTCACTTTTTTACGACCATATAAACAACTAACGCAAAATTACCTCAAAACTAAGAAGTCCACTTCTGTCTTGATCTAAAGTGTTGAAAACATAGTGAGCATACTGCGCCGTGTTGGCTGAAAACAAAAAAACTTAAATGTAACTAGACTTAAAAAAAAATGATACAGCTGTTTTTAATCTTTAAGTATCTGAATAATTAAATGCGTTTAGATATGAAACCTAGTTAACTTACATGAAGATTTATGGCAAGTTATGCTTCAAATTTTATATTAATTTTCAGTTCATTCTTTCTAAAATCTTCCTGCTGGTCAATAACCTGTGTTCTACCTGTCACGCCTTCGCCAGCGTGAGAAGTTCTAGACCAGTGTAGTAGTAAGATGGTTTAAAATAGTAATGGATCTCGTAACACTAAATTTGTGTTACTTATAGTGATTATTTTTCAATTTTACTAATTTTAATATACGAAACGAAAATTGTGTGCTTGGTGAAAATTTCTCAAGGACATGTTAAAAAAGGAATCGAGTATTGACACAAGAGTAGTAATTATATAAATGTACAAAATTTATTACTAAATTATAAAATGTAAATACCAACTACCTAGATTTCCTTGTAACATTCACCACGACAATATGGTAGGATCATAATCCTTTACAACTTTTGCAATATCAGACTTGTAAATATTCCTAGTGATATTTTCATGTTTATTTTCGTTTTAATCATTGAGGGAGATAAAACACAAGGAGAAATAATAAAACCATGATAATTATTACATTTACTTTATTTAAGATAGGTACATTAATTAAGAGGTGACAATGGGATGGAACTCTCTGTCGAAAACTAATTTCATTGACCACAGTGCAAACATTCAGCATTCAAAATACTGGCTGATTAGTCAGGTCAACTAAATTATCACAATGGAATAGTTGAAGTTACTTATTTGGTTTAATTCAAAATTTAATCCTAATAATAATGTTAGAAAAAAAATGGAAATATTAACATCCCAAAAACAACTAATTTTGCGATGCATTCCCCTTCAACTTTCACGTAAATTCCGACTTACAGAGACTATTGTTTTTTTTAAAGTAACTTAATTTTAATTTTTGAGATGGGCAACATTGTTGATCATGCCACGTATAAGACTGTTCCTTAATATAAATATTACACTAGAAACACGCTCCTCCGGTCTGTTGCTGGTACACTTCTATTGTATCCCCCTCCTCCATCTCCAGAGATGTTGGTGTGTCATTTTCATTTATTGGTTGACCATCAAATCGGAATCTGACCACTTGCATTGACAGACCCTGTAACATATAGAAACAATCATCACCATTATGTGAAAATATGCATAAGTATCTATATTTAACAGATTCTATACACCTTTTGTTTTAAGGGAAGTCACTAGTCAAATCGGAGACGCTGACCATAGGTTTGTGAGACCTAAATATCTGTTTAAAACATATTGTTACCTCTGTTTTCTCAAAAATGAAAGTCAGGGACAAAAATATATGTTATACAGAGTTGGTATCAGAAACCCTTGGTGAATGTGTCTAACAATAATAGTCAATTCAAGCAAAAATGATTGGTAATTATTTTTTTATACAAAAATAAACAGCGTAAAATTTCATGAATGTGGACAAAAATCTACAATGTCCAACATTCTTTGCTTTAATATTAAATTTTTTACAAGGTGTAAATTTAAAATATTTATACAACAAGCTTGAGAACATTTGAGATTAACATATTTGCTTGTCGGGTAAATTTTTTAAACATGTACATTCATGTCCTGTGTTAATATTTTAAAATTGTATACATTCATAGCACAGTTTATAAAAATTATAATAAATTATTAATCAATGTTTAGCCGACTTGTATTAATTTTGTACAGTACAGTTGTACTAAATGTATGTGTGTTGTAAATTTTGTATGATTGGTTATTACCAATCATACAAAATTTATACTGTAATAAACTGAACAATGAGAAGTTAGAAATGTACGATTAGAACTCTGTATTTGGCCAAGTTTAATAATCAATTTAATCAAAAATAGTAACCAGCATTTTTAAAAATAATACCAACCACTTATTGCTTTGACTTGTGCAATTAGCAATATTGAAGATAACAATAGCGAAGGAATATCTATTATGTATAAAAAAAACGATGAAATCTAAATACATATAAGAGATAATTGCCCTGTCTTAAGAGTCATGAGGAATCTATGGATAGCATCATATGAGAAAAAATGTATGTACCCATTTAAAGTTCCGTTTACGATTATTGAAATTGGAGAATGACACAAATCACTGTAATTTATCAAGGAAGGACTATTTAATATTACATAAACCGCTAAAATCAAGCGTTGGCCTTTGCCTCCCAAGTGTAGTTAGACATAGAAATATAGATGCATTTATTTGATTTACAGTCTGCAATACTTATGTTTCTTCGCAATAACTCAAAAATATGGTAAGAAATAGCATATTATCTGATCTAAAGTTAGCAACTATGCATTTTAGAAATAAGAAAGCATACGTACCGCTCGATCACAATAGGCGTTCATTAGTTTCCTGAGAGGTGTATGTTTTTTAATTTTAAATTGGACAATGGCATTGTCTTGACCCAACACCTTTAAGTTAATATGTTCGCTTTCTCCCTGAAAATTAGAAAGAAACAGTAGTGATAATCACACTGACATAAAGCATCTAAACCGAACGAAATAATAACCACATTTTACGCGAAGCGCCATGTCTGTAATTGAAGCTATCGTTGTAAATATTTACGGTAATTGCAAAGTATTTGTACCTTTTTTTCGTCGGACATTTTGAACACAATAACAAAGAATTATAAAAAGTTTCTTAATTTAGACACAAAGTCTACACTATGACAGTTTTTAGACCCGGTGGCGCGATAACGTGCAAGTGGCGTGGTAATGGCGACCGTTCGAGTAGCTTGAGGATGCAAGACAGTGCTGCCAACTCAATAGATGCGCATTAAACAACGGCGCAACTAGCGCGCGTCTGCGTATTGTAGGGTTCCATTTAACAAATCATGTTCTTAAAATGGTATATTCTTATTTCCAAAAGCAAATAATCTGGTAATGATAATGCTTACATGATTAAAGTAATAATTTGTTAATGTTGTGTAACTTTAGACAATATGTTATCGATGTTGAATTTAATATCTATTCACAATGTTAATCCCATTATTTGCCTTAGCCAAAGATTAAATAAGGATATATTTTTTTCACTTATTTATTATAATAATCCTATAAAGAAATAGCCATTTTAAGTTAAGTATTTAAAAAAGTATTTATTTTAACTTTTTGCCAACATAATTTCCGCTTGATAGGGATGTGAAGTATCGATATGTATAACCGGAAATGAATAGTGTTGTTCCATACGTTTTAGCATGAGATCGTTTACGGCCGCAGCGCATGTCTAGAAAAAATTGCATTCAGGATTTTTAGATTTACAATAGTACAATGTGAAATAACTTTTTACGTATTACACTTTTTTATATTAGTCTCTTGAAGGATTCGTCTAATGTGCATTTTTTTAATATAAAACATTTATCGCATGTAAAAATTAAAGTTCAACTGTACACTGCTGTTTACGATTTCCATGAACCGATGTAATTTTTTGTGGGGAACTAGACTTTTTTTTCCCCTGTATTTAGTGATCTCGTGTTATTTGTACATTTTATAAATTAAATGTTCAACTTTCGTATGTAACTGAAACTATTACTATTAACATTTTTGTTCTATAGTAACAATTATTCTTATAAAATATACTGTTGATTCGAACAGAAAAAAGATTAAATGGAAGCTTTCAGCTGTAACAAAGAGCATTGGAACATTTTTTCTTTTTCCCCTTAACGAACCACTTTGCATCCATTTTAACAATCTTTCCTCGTAATTTAATTTCATTGGTGGCCAGTTTGCGTTATTAAAGCTTCCCTACGTAGATTTAGTGATTTGAATGAAATCGAAATTGCCGGTTTACAACCGTGGTTCTAGAATGTTAAATTAACCAAATATATTTTTCTAGTGATTTTCCGATTTCAAGGTTAATAATTTGCCGAATGATGTTTAAATTTTTCTTAAACACATGAGTTAATTAACATTGGTCATTTACCAAAAAAAATGTTTGTACAATTTATTTATTACTATATTTTGTATAGTAAGTGTTATTTTCGTCATAAAAACGTCACAATCTTCAGTAAATTTTCCATGTAACACTTAATATTTTACAAAATCTTGCGAAATAAGTTTTGGAGCCATAATAAGAAGGGCAAGGGCAAAGTTTGGCAGGGGGGTTTTAATAAAGTCTTTTAAATTGAGTGTGCGATATAAAACAAAAAGTTTTTATATTAAGCTAAGGCGGGGTTTTTAACCAAAGCTGCTGTAGACTTTATCATACCAGAAAACAAAGACTTAATTTAAATATTAGTTTTTTTGCACTAGCAACATTAGAAGGGCCTCTAGCCGAATAGTTAAGGATTCAAACAACCAATGAATTGTTCTGGAGTTCGAATCCGTTCATGCAGAGATAACTGCTTAAATTTGGATGTGAATCGTGCCATTGCCTTGAGCAAAGAGATATCAATAATGTTCACGTAAGTAATTGGTAGAAATGACGGACTTAAACTATTTTATTTTCTTTTTAATTTGTTTCACACTTTCGTGCCATGATGTCTCCCGTATTATTAATTTTACGTAAGCAATCATTAACTTTTTTCGAGCTTTATACAAAATTCGATTATTGCATAAAATAAAAGCACAGAATTTGTTTTTGTTATTTTTTACATTTGGTGGTATGTAGAAGAATTTTTTAGGTTGTGGGGTAACAGAATTAGAAATAACAATAATAATCGTGTATTTTAAAAGCAAAGGGTTTATCTCGTTAATCTTTTTTAAACTGTCGGGTTGACTAACTTTTAAAAATGTCGTGTTCAACGTAAATGAACGATCCGTATGCTTTGGCAGTTATCGATGGTTGTTCATGTCGCAGCACCTCAGGGAATTTTATTTTTTAACACTTTTATAAGCCTCGAATTATTTATTACTGTTCGCTTGCGCGTATAGTGCCAGTTGACATTTTCAAATTAATGAAACCGTTTTAAAA